TACTCAAAGTGATAGTCTTCCCACCGTGGTTCTTTCAGTGCTTCAATGAAATGGTATGAACTACCACAGTAGATTGCCACAACCTTGCCATCCGTCGTCCCTTGTTTGTACCAGCTGCTGCAGTTTGACGACCACACCGTGTTCGCGAGATAAGTCCGACAATGTTCGTTGAAATCTCCTTGCGCGGTCACGGTCACATCCATCGACTTGACTCCCTGCTTTTGCAGCTTGGCGATGCATTTGGCGATGTATACCGCCGTGATCTGAATCGCTTGGACCAATGACCCGTTTGAGATGGGCGAGTTGGGCCCGATGAACGCTACAAGTTACTAGTCAGCAAGAGGAACATTATGCGCGGGAATGGGACATACTGAAGTAGTTGGGAAATCCGGCCACAGTGATTCCAAAGTACCCCTCGGGTAAGTCGGCCCACTGGTCGGCGAGGTCAACGTTCCCCTTACCGATGATGGGAAATCGCGGTTTGAAAGAGTTGTCAAAACCCGTGGCACAGCAAATCGCGTCACACTCGATCAGTCGGCCATCTGTGGTGACAATACCTTTTGTCGTAATGTGGTCCAGGTTTCTCCATTCCAAGCTGACATTATCTTCCAACAAAGCCTCCAGAAACCCCTGTCCAGGTGTGAGCCGGCGGCACCCTACAGGGAAGTCAGGCACGAGTTGTTGAGCAATTTGCTGGCCTTTGTCCGAAGTACCCAAGCGCTCTCTCATCGAGACGGAGAACATCTTCATGGCTTCTTCTTGGTCAGGAGACCCCAGGATGAATTGCTTGAAGCCTTGAATGCGACCATCTTGGAGTTTCCTTCGATGTTGGCGGAGGTATTCGGGGTCCGCTTTGAACCGTGAGAGCTCTTGAAGAGAATAATTGAGGGTCTCGTCGACATCAGGATCATCTGGTCCAGGCTCGCTGATTCCCACACTTGGTGTGATCCAGGTCTGGGATCGAGCAAATAGGGCGGTTTTGCGGGCCTTTTTGGCCACTTGGGGCAGAATTTGAATCCCAGATGAGCCAATGCCAATGACAGCGACGGCTTTGTCGGTGAAATCATAAGACTGGTCCCAGTCCGCAGAATGCATCAGCTTCCCTCCGAAAAGGTCGATCCCCGGTATGGCTGGCCAGTTCCAGTGGTCGAGAACCCCACCGGCATTGATGAAGACGTCGCAGACATCGATCAACTGTTCGCCATTTTGCTCGACCGTAAGTCGCCATTTTCCTTCCATGTCGAGCCATTCGGCACGTTTGATCTCGTGATTGAATTTCACAAACTCACCACACCGGTATTTGTTGAACGTCTTCTTCATGTATTCGTGGATCTGTTCCGACGTCGCATAGTAGTTGGGCCACTCCGGAAACGGTTCGAAGCTGTACTCGTAGTTGTGGGCGGGAATATCACACTGACAGCCTGGATATCTCCTCCAGGTCAGCAAAAACGTCGTTCTCACCGTGGAAGAAATTTACCTGTTCACAAGCCATGTTCCGCCCTGGTCGGAATTCTTCTCGTAAATTTGGAACTCGAGGTTTGCATCTGCCATTTTCGACCTGATAATCATTGCCATCATCAATCCCGAGTAGCCCATCCCCATGCACACGACGCGCAGACTCCTTGGTGTGCCAATAGGTACATCTTGATACGAGTACGACATCTGACCTAAGTCGCCCATTGTCAATGTTGGTGTCTGGATATCTCTTGATCTGTCTGGATTGATGTTGATGAAGGCACTTTCCAAGATTGAGATCGCTTCATGTAACGGCTTTTTCAATGTCATGCATGAAGTTCCCTTCTGACAGACTGGCCAAATATTCTATCATGCTTCCGAAAAACAGTGGAGGAGGCGGTCGAAGTTGCGGCAATCATCAACTCCGCCTTCTCCGGGTGCATCAGACCACGCCAATCTTGAATCGCCATCCTGAGTCTGGGAATTCTTCATCACCAAATCTTCGCCGCTCCTACTCAGCACCTTTGTTGACTGCCATGAAGGCGACGTGTCCTGCCTTGGTGAGTGTCGAACAATTGGGGCGATATGGATACAGAGCTTTGGTAATGCCGTCTCCTATTGCGAAGGCTTTGTCGAGGCGTCACTGACTTCTATAGGGAATCACAAATTCGTCTTTTGGGGCGAATCACACAATCGGAGCATCAATTTTTGCTCGAAACTCTCCGAAGCAGTCCTTCCGAACCCCAGTGCGTCCACGATGATGAGAAGTGGCATTTGCTCTCCCACTATACCCGAGTCCTTAGCGAGAGTTTGCCCGTCGACGAAATAAACCATCTGAAACAGAGAAAAGCCTTGTCCTTGCCATGCTCCCATATCCGAGACGAGCTTTTTGCCAATTTCCTACGCTATGTATATCCGTCAACACCTTTCCTCGACATCAACAACTTTTACCTCCAAAACCTAGATGACGACAATCTGGAGTCTGGTAAGAGAAGCCTCTTGCTGACACAGGCCATTTTATATGCGGGATCTCAGTTCACACATCTCTCTACTTTGAAAGAGCTGGGCTTTGACTCCCGGCGGGAAGCCTGCCAGCACTTTCATGGAAATGTTAAGGTTGGGAAAACTTGAGCTCTTGTTTGAATCGCAGTTGACATCTTATAGCTGATTCGGTGCCTTGGAATCGATAGAGATGTGTGTTCGAACATTTCGGCATGCCTTTTGATGAATGGCTCACAATTTGACGCTGGAGAAGAAGCAAACCCTCGGTACTGGATTGATCAAGCGGTGTCATTGTCATTTCGTTTAGGCTTACACAGGCAAAACTCAAATTACCGAACCGACTCGAGGCGAGCAAGGCTTCAACGACGTCTTTGGTGGTCGTGCTACACCAAAGATCGTCTCTCTTCATTTCCCAACCTGGAACGATCGCGAATCATGGACACCGAGTACAGTATTACCGCCCTCAGACGGCAAGACTTTGAAAAAGTCATCTTCCACCCTAAAATCACGATCTTTGCCGAGGACTTTGTCCATGAATACAGCGCACTAGTTTCGAGTTCCATTCAGCTGGTCAGACTTTGCATTCTGATCGGTAGAGTAGTCGAAACCTTGCAGATCGCTGAACCTCTCCATGAGGATCTCCTAGACCATGTCTCGTGGGGTAGTAACAGCAAGACTCCATCAACTGCGGTCTCAAGGTCAGTGTTGAAACATCGGCAGCAACACCTATCTATCGAAGATCGATCGCAGCTCGCAAAGGTCAGAATTCCACGCACAGGAGGCAGACTCCAGCTGATCCAGGCGTCATTTTCTCGGATCGTCTATGGTGTCTCCATTTGTGTAGGGTGCCCTTGGCCTGGAGATGGCAATGCAGGTATCACCAATATTGACTGCCAGCAAGAGGAGAGCATTGGAGAGATTCTTGACAACACCCGAGCTCGCTATATGGCATCTATGTCACGTTTACTCGGTGAGCTCGTCCGGAAAGACCTTGTTCCTTACCTCCCGACTGAAGCGGCTGGATTCCTCAACGCTGCGATTAGACTACACCATCCGCGAGGCTCGAAATTGAGTGGTCACAGCACCAAATGCCATCCCGGCATAAGAGTGTTTATCGAGGCCGAGAGGATTCTGCACGCTAGACCTTGGACACAGGCTGAAGAGTGTGTTGAAGACTGGATTGAAACCCCTGCTGCTGATTTAGCTCAAGAGCGATCTGAAGGGGATGGATTGAACTACGATTTCACAGAGCAGAGTATTTCTCCGAGTTCGGGAATACCAGAGCCAACGCAACGGTCTGACCACAAGGCCGTCGCTGTGTATGCAGAATATCTACTCCAGTAGTTGTAATCAAGTCTGTCCCGACGCTTCTACAAATCAGCGAAAGGTCGGTACGTCGACGAATGGCGCAAAGGCTTTGACTCCCCAGTAACCCACCATCGTCACACAGATATCACGAATGTACGAGATTTCTTCTCTGGTGGCTCCGTTTCTTAACATCCCCAGCATGTGGCCCGAGGCTTGAAGTGGACAGTCGCTGGCCAGCAGCGCCGAGACAATGATCTGGCCGGTCTCAAATACTGGCAGGATATCCGGAAATGAAAAGACGTGCGCATAGAGAAGCTCTGAGACAGCAAGCATCAGAAGACAGTTACGCTGAGCAGATCGGCTGTCTCCGGAAATGGGTTAAACCGTACCTCGCATGATAAAATCATAGTCCGGACTCGCTTTCTTCGACTTCGCGCCCCTTTCGCTGCTCTCGCCGTAGATGCTCTTGAGGAACTCCTTTCCCCGCGCCACGGCCACCTCGTGGTCTTCATTTTCCCTGGGACACTATTAGATTGATTGGTCCCTTTGGAAGCCTGGAAGGCCAGTATGCAAGGAAGAAAGTCTCCTGTAAAGATGGTATTAACCAACTCACCGGTAGCAGTGTTCATCGCGCAACTCGTTAGGAGTCACGTCGGACAGACTTCTTAACGCGTTACCAATCTGAATCAAGGCGCCCCAGGTTAATGGACCAGACCTCAAACCATGTGGTCTGTCTCAGAACTCACCTTTGCGGCCCCAATGATCCCCACCAAGCAGGTCAACACCTCTCGGATCCGCCTGGTTTGGTGCATGCGTTCACCTTCGGGAATGTAAGACTCGAGGAGGATCGTGTAAAGTGCAGCAACTTCTTCGGGATAGTTCAGCGCAGCAAGACACGCGACGGCCGACAAATACCAGGACGGGCGATGGCTAGGTCGAGTCTGCGCAGCGAGAGTGGCATAGAACTCCTCTCTAGACAGACACATGCTGTTGGCCATGGTTGAAGATGGTTCAGTCTTCATTGTACAGTGTCACCGAAACAGATAGAGGGGAATTCGACCTTGAACTCTATGTAAAAGGAGCGCGATGCGAGCGCCCCCCGCTCTGTCCGGAGGTGCATCTCCGGCGCCGCACACTAGATAGGAATTACCTTGGGCTTGCCCCCAAGGCATTGTTGAAGCTTCACGCCCATAACCATCCTGGCCCAGGAAGTTGGCAAAGCACAGTCTCTGAAGATGGCCATTCTTCTCCTACCCATGGTTTCCTTTGCGACCAAAGAGAAACAAGAGCGCGTGAGCTTGATTTTTAGCCCCTCGTTGCGTGTGATATTCCGCTGACACAGCTCCTTTACTCGGGTCGCAGTTTTTCTCCCTTCTTCAAAGCGTGGCCGAAGAAAGCTGGACGGACGAACCAGGCTGTCTCGGCTACTGCTGGTTGGTTTCTGCCGTGCCAGCAGAGCTGCGCGTTTGTGGATTTGAGCTCTATGCGAACCCAGCGGCCTTGACAGAGACCCATCGAGCTGGCACGGCCTACAGAAGGTTCAAAACGGCTCTCATGCAGGAGGAACTCGCACCTCCTCCCACGCGCGACGACCTGAGATTTTGGTGTCCCTTGCAAGAACATAGCCCAGAACTGAACAAATCTCCCGGTGAAGATACCCCGTTGACTTTCTTGGTGAGCAGATATCAGCTGGACAGCTCGGAGAGACGAGAGGCATTGCTGAAGGACTTGGAAAGGGAGCACAGAGAAGCTCAAAGCACCACTTCCGCAACACGCATTGTTGCCACAGCCCCTGACAGTTATGACGTGGTCATGGTACACATTGCACACTCTACCGCGCTGGATGATTTACGTTGCAAGATGATTGAGGAACAGCTTAAGTATGTGAACGAGGATGCTTCCATGGTCGGCCGAGTATTTACTTATGCGGTCTCACAGGATGCGAGACATGGGGGTGCCAGAGATTTGCCATCTGTGGCAAACATCTGCAGTCTCATTTCTTCGTGGAAATTCAGCGAAAGAAAGTTAAAGCGGAGCCTCAGGCGCAGAATGGACGTGAACATCAATGAAGTGCGGGGTACCGGGGGCGAATCAATAGATGTTATGGGTGCTGTCAGTAGTGCGAGAGTACCCCGACTTAACCCTCGGCCCCCGGCTCACAGCCTAGGGTTCCCCGAGCTCGTTATTAGGTAATTGATTATAGTCCAGAATTACCGCCCCATGTCTTGCTAGCTATCCCCGGAGGTCCTCACTTCCACCACGTCCGACATCCATCATCAATTGCGTGTCCTAACAATGTCCAAGTACCATCAGTCTGGCGTCGCGAAATGTAAGGCCTGCATCGCATGCCGCCGTAAAAAGGTGCGTGAGCCTTCACTGGATAGGAGATTCCTCATTCCCAAACTACGTCGCTGATGCGTCAACTTCTAGATCAAATGTGACGGTAATCAGCCCCGCTGTGGCCAGTGCCGGTCGTCGCCCACCGAGGACTGTGTCTATGGGAATGATGCCCGGCGGTACCCTCGTCCCAAGCAAGACTCCATGGCCTCCGTGGCCAACAAGCTACTCAGCTTGGAAAATTTGTTGAAGGGCCTGGACCAAAGGATCCTTCCCGAGCAGGACCGACCGTCTGGTGAGCGATGCATGACGGCCCTCGATAATGGGTTTACACTCGAGCCTTCCAGAGCTGTCGACGTGGTCAGCCACGATACTCCCCTGCAAGTACATCATAATGCAGTAAGTCCGGCCAGAGAGAACGCTGCCGAGGCTGTCAGTATTGTTTCTTCCCACGGCCAGTCGCCCTGTGGACATAAAGCCGCGTCGGTTACAGCACAGAACGAGGTCCGCTCACAGGAGAGTTCGCCATGGCTGGCGAATTTTATGGTTGACGACCAAGGCTCCATTTCCGCTCATGGTCCGTCATCAGCTTACCACTACCAAGACAAATCTCCCAATCATGCCGGCGACGATCCAGGCGACGAGGCAGCACGATGCAGCGGGCTGGTGGCGGCATCATCATTCAATGCCTCGCGTCCTCTAGATAACGAGGACATCCGGGTACAGCTGGTCGCGCACGCCGCACTCGAGCGGCAAAAAGAATCTGCGGCCCTGTTGCTCGGCACATATGATTTTGATGGCCTGGACTTCGAAACTGCTCAACATCTCCTCCAAATTCATTGGAACCGCCACCATCTGCTGTTCCCATTGACATATCGGCCCTTGGTCCTGAAGGAGGGCGTAGAAGACGGGAGGTATGCCAGCAAGCTCTTGTGGAACGCCATCTTTTATGCATCAGCCCTGCACAGCACCCGACCACACGTGAATGGGACAAGTCCTGGAGATGGAGAGAGTCTCAAGGACCGGTTTTTGCGTCGATTTAAAGAGTTACTTGTAAATGCGCTGGAGAAATCAACTCTACCAACCATCAGCGCCCTGCTCGTCATGGGATCCAGCCTTTTAGCAAGCGGATCGCCCACTGTCGGCTGGAACTATTGTGGCCTGGCATATCGCATGATCATTGATATGGGTTTACACCTGGATCCTCGCAAGACCCGACCTTGTCAACCGGTGTCCCCCAAAAGCCCCACCATTATCAGCTTCAGCGAGGCCGAACAGGAAATGCGTCGGCGCATCTTCTACGGTGCATACATCATGGACAAGTTTCAGTCGCTCTACTTTGGACGGACCCCAGCTCTGCCCTTGATCGGCACCGAACCCCCTCAGATCTTTCTCGATACGTACGAAGACCTGGAGCTCTGGGCTCCATATGCGGACACCTCTCTGGACGCAAACGAACCCTTTCGTCCCTACACCCCGCGACCGCAACACCTTGTTCCGGCATTCAGCGCCCTGCTCCGGCTGGCAGAGATCACCAATGATATCATTACTAGGCTCTATATGCCCTCGGCGACGCTAATGACAAGTGACCAGGCGGCCGAGTGCCTGAAGAGTCTGCGCAAATGTCTCGACGACTGGCACGAGAGCCTGCCGGCGCACCTGCATTTCAGGCCGCTCGAAGATCCGACGCCTCCACCACATCACCTGAGCCTACATACGACGTTTCAAGCCCTCATAATCCTCGTCCATCGGCCCTTCCTGCCTGAGGGCCACTTGGCCTCACTCAAGGTGGGTATCAATGGAGTCTCGCTAGAGAAGGCATGTTTAATGGCCGCGCGACAGATTTGTCGCCTGGCAAAGGCATACGAGGAGGCTTTTGGGCTGCACCACGCGCCGTACCTATTTTCTTACGCCCTCTTCTCGGCCGCCACCGTGGTCACGCGCCACGAGTCCGATGGCGACCTGGTGATGTACTTGTTCCTCGCCCTGACGCGGATCCAGCGCGGGGCCAATTTCGGCCTCCTGAAGCCGTTGATGATCATTCGCGATCTGATGGAACGTGTCGGCATCGACATGCGCACCGTCACGGCCGCCATGCAGAGCCTCGACCAACGCCTCCAGAAAGAGGGCGAATCGGCCTCGACGCCGGCGGTGCTGCCGACAAGTGATCCTCCTCTGGACAATCACTTTGTCAACAAATTAATGAGTGGTCTGGATCGGACGTGGCTTGAAGATCTCGGTTCCTGGCAGACATCTGATGATGATGCCATTCAGTGGCTGATGGACCCACCGTACATGGAAGACTCCCAGGTACTTTACGGATTGTTTGAACCTGTAAACTGAAGCCGCTGGCAGCCTTCTGGCGTGTCTATCAATTGAATATTCCCATGCCAACCACGAGATGATCACTTCTATAACATGGCTTTACCCTGTTGAACCTCTTCCCACAGTGAATCAGTCAACGGATGAAACAATGACCTCCGTAAAATATACAAATTATCACCGTGGATGTTCTCCCGAGGTAGCCAACTACGTCCCACGAAATCCTTCTTTGCTTGTTTGTATGTGTCTCCGGCCCCAATGCTGGTCGTGATGCGCACCAACCGCGGCACCGCGTAGTCTGGAAGCCCGCTGTCACGGAGATATATTCTGAGTTTGGCCATGAAACGCTGTTCAGCTGCGGCGTCGTGGGCCTTCAGTGCTATTGCCGCGCCGCCAACTTGACCATCGTACCTATTTTTCGCAGCAGCGGGTCAGTTCATGTATCACCACAACGGGGCCAAACCACTCAACTTGTCTAGTTTGACACCATACACCACAGCGTCTTCGACGTCTTCCGACCCACAGATAAAGTCTCTAACTTCAGTGGTGCTGACATTTTCGCCCTTCCAACGAAATGTATCGCCCATGCGGTCGGAGAACTGAACCCAGCCAGACCTCTCCTGGATTAACATGTCTCCCATGCGTTGGAACAGATCCCCCTTCTGAAACACGTCGGCCAGCATCTTGGCCTCGGTGGCCTCGGGATTTCCAAGGTATTCAGTAAGCAAGCTTCGGTCCGTGCACCGGCCAATGGCCTCCCCAGGCTCGCCCAAGCTGGCCTTTTGGCAGAAGCCGGTGCGAGCGTCTCGAACAGGCTCTTGGGTGTCTGGGTCGACTTTAATCAGGAACGTCTGGTTTTGGAAGAACCTCCCCAGGACCCCTGAAAATCCTATCTTGCCAGCCCCCACGACTCCGCGGCCATAGTTGTCAAACTTGGCCAGTCCCTCCGTCGACCTGTAAAACTCGCGAATCTCTGGGATGCCGAACCTCTCCATGAACGGCTGCCAGATGTCTTTTCTCATTCCGTTCCCGTGAGCCACGAGGCACCCATGCGATCTATCGTACTGGGACGCCGGCGCACCCATCAGATACCGGCAGAGCTCGCCAATGTATAGCATTCGGTTCGCCTTCGCCAGGACCATGTCCTCCCAGAAATGCGTCACTGAGAACTTGCGTCGCAGGCACAACGTGCCCGAGCAGCCGACCACGTATGCCAAGCCTGTGAAGAATGCCGTGCCGTGGAACAGGGGCAGCGGTGAATATGTGCGTAGCGGATAGTAGGTTTCAGGATCCTCCGCATCGGCTGTCAACGGGTTTGAGGTGGCCATGACCTGCATGTTGCGGATCGCACACGCCTTGGGCTTGCCTGTCGTACCGGATGTGTAAATTAATACGACCACGTCGGCGAGTCGTTGTTCTCTCGTCGTGATACTTGCTTCGGTTCGATGTAGCTCGTCTAACGTCAATCGGGTCACGGCCCTGTCACGTTCGTCGTGTCCATCTCGGTGACTGGTTGCTGAGCCCATCTTGACGAATGAATAAAGATCTAGGATCAGTTGGCGGACTCCGGGAGGAGAAAAGGGCGCCAGGTCAGGGGTTGCAATGATGAAATCTGCGTTGGCCACGCTGAGACAATGCTGCAGCGTGGCATCTCGCAGATTGGTGTTGATTAATGCCATAACGCTCCCAAGTTTGGACAGGGCGAGACAAGCGATGATCATCTCGGGCGAGTTTGTTGAGAAAACCGCCACGCACTGGCCGGGCCTGATGCCGTGTCGGCACAGAATCGTGGCCAGGCGATCTGCATCACTCTTCAATTGTTTGTAGGTCCAGGACTGATTTTCAAACCACAGCGCCTCTGCTCCTTGATCTGCACAGTTAAATATCCGGTAGAGGCTGCAGTCGCCTCCCAAGTCCTTGATTCTTTGATCCAGTCGCCGTCGCCAGCTGCGTTCGTGTCGCAGCTGCTTCATGTCCGCCCCAATCCCCAATTTGGCATCCAGATACGCGTAGCCAGCGAGACCGGCGGCGGTGGCATAGGCCAAATTCGCCACCCCTTTTGCAAGACTATTCTCTGCCATCGTGGCTGCTCGCTAGCGATATGCGCCTGGCTATCGTGTTCAACTCGACTGCCTTCGCGGCGGGCAATTCACCTCCAGCATTGTACCCAGCCTTGAACGTTCGCAAAACACTCCAAGATTAAGAATCATTTGCACCAGTAGACATCGGCGGCAGAAACGCATCCTTGTCGCCGTGCCAAAGGCTGTATCGAATCCCAGTAACTTGGAGGTCGGACCTAGCAAATAGTGGCGTTGGCCGAGGCCGCGTACTGGACAGCTTGCCCGGAGATGCACGAACTCCGGATATCCGATATATTTGAGATACCCGGGACGAGGCATGTTCCATCGCGGCACAAGCAAGATTTCCGTCCATGAAATCACATTGACCATGCTGATTGAAGTCCAGAGAAGATATCGACGCAGTCATGTTCACATGATCTCCAGCCATCTGGGTGGCAGATGGACTTAACTCCGATGTGCTCATTCGTGGTCAACATGAAAAGAATGAGTACCTGGTACCTCCCGCGTGCCCCTTTCTTCCTTTTGGAAGCAGAACTTCAAGAGGCTCCGAGATGGCAAAATCAACCTCTACAATGACCGGCAAACGGCGTCTGGACATCATCATGAACCAACTGGGCCCAGTGCCTGATGGGAAGAAACTGCTGCTCCAACCATCCCCGTCCGACGTGGTCATCACCGTAGCGACGCGCACCCCGCTTACGAAAGCCAAAAAGGGGGCACTGAAAAATACGGCGGTCGAAGAGCTTCTCATCGCAATCCTCTCCGCAGTGCGTGAAAAGAGCGGTATCGATCCAGCCCTGGTACAGGACGTCTGTGTGGGCAATGTGCTGGCGACGGACCAGGCATATCTGGCCCGCGCCGCCGTCTTGACCGCCGGGTTTCCTGAGACGACGGCGTCCTCGGTGTGCAATCGATTCTGCTCTTCCGGTCTGTTGGCCATCCAGTCCATTGCCAACCAGATCATCACCGGCGCCATCGAAGTCGGGGTCGCCGTGGGCGCTGAGAGTATGTCGACGACACCGGACAATGGCAGTCCGGCCATGAATGAAAAAATCAACGCCCACCGGCTGGCAGGCCAAATCCAACAGCCAATGGGCCAGACGAGCGAGAACGTGGCGGCCGAGTTCAACATCTCCCGGGCGAAAATGGACCAGTACGCTGCGGAGAGCTTTCAGTTTGCCGAGAAGGCCCAGCGAGAGGGATGGCCTGCCGACGAAATCACGCCCGTTAGCGTACACTTCAAGGATCCCGCAACGGGACAATATGAAACCCGCATCGTCTCTGCCGACGATGGTGTACGCTTTGGCACGACGGCCGAGTCGCTGGCTAAGATCCGAAGTGCTTTTCCCCAGTGGCCTCCAGGCCACACGACGGGCGGCAACGCGAGCCAGATCACAGACGGCGCCGCGGCCGTCCTTCTGATGAGACGCTCCAAAGCGGAAAAGTTGGGCGTCCCTATCCTGGGACGCTTTGTCGGCGCCACCGTCGTCGGGCTGGAACCGCGCATCATGGGTATCGGCCCTAGCCTCGCCATCCCCAAGATCTTGGACCAGTTCAATCTGTCTACCTCGGATGTCGATTTGTTCGAGATCAACGAGGCATTTGCGTCCATGGTAGGCCGCAGATTCCCTTTCCCCGAGCTGTGCACAACCGCTAACCCTAGTGCGTTCGACCTCAGGCTGTCTATTGTGTGGAGAAACTTGGGCTTGATCGGGCAAAAGTGAATCCAAGAGGTGGTGCCATGTATGTTATCTTGCCTGCACTGGCATCAACAATGTATTTGCTTGCTAACAACCCGAGTTTCAGAGCACTAGGACATCCCCTCGGCTGCACGGGAGTCAGACAGGTGGTGACAGCGCTGTCCGAGCTGAGAAGACAGGGCAAACGTCTCGCTGTCACTTCAATGTGTGTCGGTACTGGCATGGGCATGGCTGGGATAATTATTTCCGAGAATAATTCGAAGTACTGAGTGCAAGCAACCAAGTAATACCTGATCTACCAATCTCGTTCAATGGACAATTCTGGACGGGCGATATTGGGTCTAATCTGGGCCGTTAGTCTGGACCATTATTCTCAGGAAAGACTTATTGCGACCGCTCACACGATTTTCACAAGCAGAATCAGTTGCCGATTACCCACAATCAACACATGTTGTCTTCCAAAATGAACTGATGGATTGAGAAGACTTATGCCGCCAAGGATGTCAACATTGCATGCGATGATATGGGAAAAGGTCTCGTCGTCAAACCGATCTTGCTTTGGGATCAAGTCTAGGCTTGTCGCACGTTTGACCAATCGTCTTGCATGTGCGATAGCAAGTATGAGAGAGGTCATAGAGCATGGATTATTCTAACCCTAATCACTGCCTGGTCTCCCTCGTCTAGTTCTCCCAAGTAATTACCTTTGTGCGCAAGAACTCATTTAATCCCTGATCAGAGTTGAATCGTCCAAAGCCACTGCTCTTGACTCCACCGTGAGGCAGTGCAGCTTCGTCATGAATAGACATGCTGTTAATGTGTACGGCTCCAGTAGTATATTTCTTGGCCATCCTGAGACCTTTGGCCAAATTCTCTGTGAAAATGGCACCTGCAAGGCCATAGTCGGTGTCGTTAGCCAAGGCAAGAGCCTCATCCTCAGTCTCGAACACATGGAAGCTAGCTACGGGACCAAACGACTCGGTGTAGTACAGATCCATCCCAGGAGTAACTTTGGCCAACACTGTGCGCTGCAGTTTGTCTTGTTTGCCCGCATCTGCGCCGCAAATAGGTGAGGCCCCCTTGGAAATTGCATCCGAGATCAAACCTTGGACTCTGCTTTTCGATTTGCTCGAGATCACTGTGGGACCAGCCCCGGATTCCGGGTGCAGGGCACCCATGGTATTTTTGAGTTCTTCTTCGAATGCTTTGGCGATGCTGGAATGGACAATGATTCTCTCTGTGCCCATACAGACTTGACCAGACTAATAATATTATCAGTGGTGCTCTTGGAGGCCTTCTATCCGCAATAGAAGGTAAGTAAGGACTCACATGGATAAAGGCACCAAGCAGGCAGAATGTGGCCGCCTTCTTAAGATCTGCGTCATCACACACAATTGCTGAGGCTTTGCCACCGAGTTCGAGTAAGACAGGCTTTAAATATTTGCCAGCCGTGGCTGCTACACTACCTCCAACCATAGTGCTGCCGGTGAAATTGACCTTTCCAATGGCAGGATGTTTGATGAGGGCTTCCGTAACCTGAACAGCATTCTCGGGCGCAGCAAAAACAAGATTGAGACATCCTTTGGGAAGGCCTGCATCATGGAAAATATCGACAATGGCGCGGAAGCACCGGGGTGACATCTCCGAGCCCTTCAGGATGGCCGTGTTGCCTGTGGCGAGAGCAGCTGCCACTGAACGCGTACCAAGGATATAAGGGGCGTTCCTTGATCCAGAATGTCAGTCTAATTCTAACCATATTTCAATCATAATTAAAACATCGCCGACGAACTTACCAGGGTGCAATACCAAGAATCACACCGTATGGTTCTCTCAGCACAAGTGCGCTTCTCGAGTCGTCTTCAAGCTGTGGGAAAGAGCCTTGGATGGCGGTTGCTCGGTTGGCTACATCTTGGAGCTGTGTGGCAGTCGCTGAAATGTTGAATCCGATAAAAGCATCATCTGCGGCCGTCTCAAGTTTCATATACTCTGCCAGTTGATCCTTGCGCTCTGCATACAGGCTGGCAGCTTTCCGTAGGATCTCGCTCCGTTCCACTGCTGAAGTCTTGGCCCATGCAGGAAACGCCGCCGCCGCAGATTCGACAGCACGTTGTGCGTCTTCAACCGTTGCACTGGAGTATGTCCACACAGAACTGCCATCTGCAGGATTGATCACGGGGAATTTCGACCCTCCCTGAACTGATTCTCCATCAATGAGTAACGAAACATTGTGGCCAGAGCCTTGCGAATCTCCATTGGCTGCAGGCGCCATTTTTCTTTATTGGCCGTTGATGTAGACGATAGACGGAGTCGAAGTACAAGACTGGGGACGGAAGGTTATTTTCAATGATCTCGCTGCTGAATAAATCGTGGAGAAAAGAATAGTCGTAGACTTATAGATACAACCCTCTGGACGGGGATGGAATGGTTCCCTGTCCCCGCTGGCGCATTCTACCAACGCGTCCAGTCGAAAGCGGGCCTTTTGACAAATACTTGTCGAACCTATAGTAGGGGACGGAATTTCCATGTAGAAGTGGGAAGGTTGAGGATCCCACAAGACTGCCGATGTCTTCTATTCGAATGCCGACTTCTCCCTCTCCCACATTGTTGCCGATGTTGCCCCGCTAGCTTTTGTCGGGGGAACTCATCCGGGTTTCGGATCGCCCCTCCCCCCATAAGGCGACTCGACGTCTTGTACGACATTTCCTTCTGAGATTTGACTTCATTCAAGTTCGGAGCAACCTCCGCAATGTCGCCGTGGTTGACGGAAGGTTTCCAGATTGCTGCGGCGATGGTGTTTTCGCAGGGCAAAATGTTGCTCGACATCGCCAGACCTCATAGATTGGTGCTATGTATTCCAAAATCTAGAAGAAGAGTTTCTTCTGCAACAAAATTCATTTCCCCCCGGCCAAGTTCAAATTCTTCTAGCGCTGTCGTTCAAATCGCTTCAAAATGTTTTCACGTCTCATTCGTTTCAGAGATGAACAAGGCTCCGAGCACTTTGGAGAACCAGTGATAGATTCGGCCGATGAGCTTCTGGATCTTTGCGAAAACGGCAAACTCGTTGCAACCGTGTTGGAAGGTGTTGGGCCATTCGACTTGACATCCAGTTCTGGCGTGCGGAAGCAGGTGGTGGAAATCTTGCCCATCCTTTCACCCAGTGATGTTCCTCTCGTCCGGTGTATTGGTCTGAACTACATCAAACATAGTAAGTCTGAACGAACGGCCATCATCTCGATGGAAGTGTCCAAATTCTCTTGCTAAAGAGTTCCAAAAGTCCAGGAAAGCGGCCGCAAACCGCCTCCATATCCTTCAATTTTCACCAAACCTTCGAATGCCGTCGCTTCATACAATGAAGACATCCCCATCCCAAAGATCGCGCAAGACGACCAGTGCGATTATGAAGGAGAATTGGTGATTGTGATCGGAAAGACTGGAAAGAATATATCCAAGGAATCAGCGCTCGAACACGTTGCAGGTTACGTTGTGGCCAACGACGTAAGCGCCAGAAAATGGCAGAGAGAACCCGCATACGCTGGCGTGGTACCTCAATGGGATTTTAGCAAAGGATTCGACAAATACGCGCCTTTGGGCCCAATGCTGGTCAGTCCTAACTTGGTGGGCGCGGCAGATAACCTCCGTCTCCAAACTTGGGTCAATGGCGAGCTCCGACAGGACTCGAACACCAGTGACCTGCTGTTTGGAGTCCAGGAAATCGTTGCCTTCATCAGCCAAGGGACGACGTTACAAAGGGGAACAATTATCATGACGGGAACCCCTGCAGGCGTGGCGCTGGGTATGAAGCCAGTGCCGAAATATCTTGCCAATGGAGACGTTGTCAAGGTTCGGATTGAACATTTAGGTACTACCACAAATAAAATGGTATGGGAATAGAGAACTTGACAATGAATCGAGCTTCAATTATATTTTAGTCGATCGTGAGGGCTAGCTTCGCACCAGGGAGAATTGGAAAACAGACCATGGTTCAAAGTAGTCACGCGGAACTCAATGAATAATGATGATTCGTCAGATGTAATTTCTTCATCGTCCATTAAATGCACTCTCGACGGGACAACGTGGACGAAGGATTCTCGTGATGGCGCCATACTGCGCTCTCGTCCCAGGACCCACAAGTCTCGAGCATGCGTAATTACATATTGAGTGCCAGCTCACGCGTGCAACACCCATCCACCATACTGCACGGGAGGTCGTCAATGCGGGCGTTCTTCTTTCCTACCATGAATGCCTCAGGATTGGAGGGCAGCAACCTCTGGCCGTGACATAGAGGCCTTGCTCTCAGACGCCGCCTCACCAACAGCTGTGACTGGGTTGAAACCTGGGTGCAGCTGTGTCGGAGAGGTGCCTTCCTCATCTTCTGCGGACTTGGGCCCTGAGCCAGAATCAGAATGCTGGCCCAATTCGAACTTTGGCTCTTTGAGTATCGGTTTAGGCTTCTTGGTCATCTTTGTGGGAGACATGGCCTTCTCTGCTGCCTCCACCACCGCCTCTATACTGGCACTTTCTGGCATTTGTCGTTGGGGAATGTCGTGAATGGTGTGAATGGGCTCTCCTGCTGCGTCGTCTTCCGTCGGGGACAGCAAGACCTCTGATTGTCGTCTTTGCAACTCTTCAAGTTTGGTGACTGGGTTCTGTTTTCCACAATGTTGGCATCTCCAAAAGAAAGTGCCGCGCAAATGATGAACACGTAACGATAACTGGGGCGCAAACGAAGGAAACTCAAGCCTGGAATGGGAGGAGGAGCCACGCACCCAATCTTCTTGTTTTGGCACACCGTCTGCTGTGGGTAAGTCACTTGTATCATCTGGATCATCTCCCCAGTAGCTTGGCCTTCGAATCGGCGCAGGGGTTACGGGTAAACTCGGTCTTTCAATCTCGGTGGGGAAGTCGGTTAATTTCAGGCTTGCTCGTCGTTTATCACTCTCTGCTGGGGATGAGGCGGCATTTGAATCTCGAGGAGAACGCTGGGAGGGGGTGTGATGCAGAACCTGTACCTTGCCTTTGCGAGCTTGGTTGAATGCTCGCACGTAACGTTCAATTTCCGGCATCTCATCCCACGCGTTTGTCCTTGACTCGAATGCGGCCCAAGGATCTGCATTCGGAACGGGGAAAGCAGGAACATTGTCTTTGGGTACTGCGGTTGTGTCTGCAGCTTTTGTGGCATCGTCTGAGGCAACGGCCTTTTCAGGCTCTGGTTCAACTTGGGGAGGTGGTACGGGTTCAGGCGGTGGCTGGGCAAATACTCGAGTTGGCTTTGGAGCTCTTGATTCCCATGGGAATATTTGTTTGAGCTTGGGAGGCTCGGGCTCCTTCTCTGGAACCTGATACCACATGTCTTTCGGAGCTTCTGGGTAGTGAGTCGGGGCTTGAAAGAGTTTGGTGTCTTCGGTGAAAGAGTAGATAGTAGTGGGGAAATTGGCGGCTTCGGGTTTGGAATCTATCGGTGGAGGTGCCCTGGTATGGTCAATAAAATAGCAGATGGTGTTGGAGAGAAATCAGAGTACCTCGCGGGCTCCCACTCAACATGGGGGGCACTGAAACGTCGCTGTTCAACAGTAGGCACAGGGGCAAAATGATGAGGGGCAACTGGGGTGGGAGCATCACCAAAGGGCAGTTCGACAGTGTGATGTGTAGGAGCTTGATCAGAGCCTGCCTCAGTGATTGTGATCTGTGGGGGCAAAGGAATTTGGCCTTGATGGGTATAAGATGGAGATGTTTCATGATGTTGCGTTTGGCCGGATTGGTCCACCACATATAATGGCTCTTCCCCTCGAACATAGTCCTGTACTTTTTTCGTGGAGGCATATGTCCGAGAATCATAATAGGTCACGGGCTTGACTGGGTTAGAGGGATTTTGAGCGTCTTCTGAGCCAACAAAACATACCTTTGGTCGATAGTGCCTGTCGTACACTGACCACCAATGAGCTAGAAGCTCGCCATATACGCCTGTGTTGTATTTGTTATCCCGTCCGAGGGTCCAAGGCTTGTCCTTGCCAATGAAATGAACGACAGATATGCTGGAGGAGAAGTGTCTGTAGGCTGGTACGTATTGATAGTTGCCGCTTGGGGTGCAGTTGAAAACAAAGCTTAACCGATGCCAGTCCCTGAAATGCATGTTGAGGAGACCTTGATCAGCACCATCGAAACTTACACCACGCTGAGCTAGGGCCAGGAGGGAATAATAGTCGGCCATGTTTGGGTTCAAGACCATGACGCCGCTGTTGAAACAGTCTGGCCAGCCAATATCGGGGACGGCAGCGAAATTTGTATCCAAAGTTAACAGCTCGTTTGGAGTCCTCAACACCACCGTGTCCGCGTCTAGGTAGACTATTCTCTTGTACTGAGACTGCCGCCATAGTTCGATCTTTGTGAAGGTAGATATTAAGTCAGGTCTGCCCATAACATATAGATTTGCAGGCTGCCTGTTCGTGACCTGTTGGACAGAGACGACATCGTCGTAAATGGTCTGAGGAACTCAAGTGTCAGTCAGGATGGACGAGGGCTGGTGTAGGAGAGAGACAGACTCTTAGCTCGATGAGGGTTTCTGGGGCTAAATTGTCCGCGACGACAAAAGCCACGAGGGGTGCCTTTGCACCTCTATCCTTCAAGGAATGGCCAAGGACCATGGCACCTGGCCACAGGTCAGTTATGAGAAGCAGCAGACGTGAGTGAGAGAAATACCTGGTAGGTAGGCATCGTTGATGAGCAGCTGCGGTACCAGTCAGTCAATTCTGATGCTTGCATGGATGCATGCGAGGAAGCGTTCAAGTTCCAGAGGTATAGCTCTGGCAGCTCTTTGGCGGAAGAGGTCTTACCGTAGCAAAGACAGCTGCTCCGATGGGTGCCATGTTGGCAAGAAGGGCACACAGGTGCTATGGTGCACCTGAGGAGGGTGCAGGAACAATGACAGAGAAAGATGAGGGTGTGGCAACTCTGCCAGACCTCTGAAGAGGTCTGTGTAGCAAGGGCGACGGTGTGCAAGTCGAATGACAATGACCGAAGTGCCGATCGGCAATGATGGTGACTCGCGAGCGGTGGCAGGGTGGGTAGTGAATGATGATGGCGTCTATGCTGCGGGTCGCCAGTCAAGGATGGAAAAAAGTGGTGAAGGGTGACAGGCCAAGGGGCCAGGGAGGGAGCGGGGAGCTTCTCGGGGCCGAGGGGGCTTCTGAGTGGTGAAGGGGAGAGAGTTGAGGCCCTCGGGCCAGTTGGAGCCAGTAAGTTGTGCTTTAGCGGGTAGTATGATGCTGGTCGTGGGTGGTAGTGGGCTCTATGGCTCTTTCCCCGCACCTAAAGAAGAGCCACTGCAGCAGTGGGCACAGTGGCAGAGTGGCACTCAATGCACTCTCTAGCTTTATGCTGCCGGTCAGGGAAACAAGATGGCGGGAACCGTCCAGCAGGTGCAGTAGTCGCCTGCACAAAATTCTCCCCCAGGCGTTGCGACTGGCTCTTTAGGCAGCGTGGGCGGTCATTCAGTGCCCATGTGACGTCTTTTGGGACTTAAGTTGTGGGAGCTCGATGCACAATCCCTGGCAATTGAGCTCGAAAGCCAAAAGCCGTGCAGCTCTAGCTTCAAGCACACAGTCTCAGCTGATTCGTCAAGAAGTGACTGCAAGGGTACTCTTTCCAGAGGCAAGTCACTTGACTGGTAGTGTTGAATTTGGCAACGGTGGAAAAATATATCAAGAAGTAGAGAGGAGATTTGACAACACGTCCATCACGTTTTGTTCACGCGTGGTTTCCAAGAAAGAAATCATCAACATGTGCTCACTACTATCATCGTATTTGCCAACAATCCGACCAACGATTCGGGCCTGTACCCCCACGCACTCGAATCGTACTGGCACGACTGGGTCGAGCCTGGGGCTTCTCAGGCCCGCTTAACACCAAGGGGAGCCCGGAACAATGCGCCTGCCACTCATGTTTGATTTGCCAAACCAAAAGGACTGACGACTCCTGAGAAAAAGGCAAGGGAGGACCATGAACAAGCCTGATGGAGGCGCAAAATGCAATTTCGCGGTATCTTTTAGGCTCATACAGGCGACAGTCAACCTCTTCGGAGCCCTGCATGTGCCATGTTCAAGGTCAACCAAACTGGCAGAAATAGGAAAACTTACAAAATGACCCACGAGTTGCCGCGGATACGCTACGGGTGTTTCATTTCATTCTTGCCACTACTGCAAACATCACACCATCTTGTACTTTTTAACTATGATTATCGATGATAGATAGGGTTTTATTCTGCAATCACATGGCATCAACTTTGTCCCCTGCCATAAACATGCCATAGCTCCCGGTCGGGCTGGTCTAACGGGCGGAAGATTTTGACATCTGTCAGACGCTCCGTTGGCGCCTGCCCTCGTAAGAGTAGCTTGAGGCTCGGTGGAATTCGGAAGGGATGGGCATGAGCAGGAGCACGAGGATGTCGCGCCTGCCACGAGAGAAAGTTAAAAGTACGCGTAGGTAGACCGTGGTTTTTCCTCGTGGAAGGCAGGAACAATCCCTGGGACCTACATAGGTATGTACCTAGGTCTTAGTGAGGAATGATTAAAATAAGTCCCTGCCCAGTGGGTTTGATCTTGCTGAAAATTAATCCTGGAAATGTATGGCGCCCCGATGTTGTGCCGGAAAGATCCCCGCAGACCAGATTCAAGTAGCAGCTTACGGAGTATATCGTTTATCAACTACGGAGTAAATGGTATTTGCCATAACATGTCATTATTAGTAGCCTACATTTTCGGTTGGACACGTTAAATTGGCTAGCATTCAACACTTTATGGTCATTGTCCCGTTTTCCAATCGGGGTGGTCTCGGTCCAACACCTGTACATATACTCGTATACGGTAAAAGTGAAGTAAATGCCCCTAAGGGAGGTTGCTGGCTGACTAAGAATATTCTTGGCAACTCGCCGTCACATCCATCGCATCTCGCAGCCTTGCCGCTATAATTCTAATTTCGTGATGACTTTGCAAACATCCTCACTCACCAACACAAGTCGATTCTTGACAATTCTGCGTCCAACCACGCCACATACACATAAACAGATAATACACAAGTGCCTTTCAACCTCTCCCACCCAACCCCCATTTCAATTTTCCCCTCATCCACACGATCTTTCCTAGACAACAATGCCACCAGTCCGCTCTCGCAACAACCGCAAACCGCCACCCGCAGGATTCGCTGACATCGAAGACACACTGCTAGAATATGGCAACAAGATGCGCGATGCCGAGAACGCCTCACACGACGGCAAGAAGAAACACGAAGTTCTTTGGCCAATATTCCAGATTTCACACGCCCGCAGCCGATACGTCTACGACCTCTACTATGAGCGCGAGGCAATTTCCAAGACTCTCTACGACTGGCTACTGAAAAATGGGTATGCCGATGCAAACTTGATCGCAAAGTGGAAGAAACAAGGATATGAGAAATTGTGCTGTCTGCGATGTGTGCAGACGAAAGAGACGAATTTTGCAGGGACGTGTATTTGTCGCGTGCCGAAGGCGAGTTTGAAGAGAGATGAGGGTGGTGATCAAGGAGGCGGGGGTATTCAATGTGTCAATTGCGGATGCAGAGGATGTGCTAGCAGTGATTGATTGGCTTGACTGAAGGATTCTGGCTAACTCACCACCCACAACACACCTTTTTCATATCCTGGCTGAGAGTGAGACTCGATGTTCAGCACCAAGACGGGAACGGGACAGATTGATTCGACCTCTCCATCGAAGATGGAAACGCCGCCTACAACAATTAGCATTGATCAATTTTCACGATTTGACGACTTTCGAAGACATGATATCATGCAATGATTCCCCCAAGAAGAGCGCTTCCGTGCTTCCGCAAGAAACCTGCGAATCTGACAGGGATTCAAGTTGAGAATTTGGGTCATTGTCCACTGGTCCCTGAGTCTGCTTCAGGAAGAGGAGGGTACGAACATGCGACCACGGACTGTCAAACAATATACCCACAGGCTCTAGTCGGTATGACGACCAACCCAACTTTACGTCGTCAGGCGTTTTTCGGGCCTGGCTCGACTACAAGTGTACCTTCTGAGACACGGAGAACAAGAGATGGCATTGCTGTGGCTCCCTTTCATGGATGAACATTATTGAAGGCCCCTCGGACGCAGGGCTGGTTCTCAGAGCCTCGTCGACTTTGTTTGTCCTATGGGCGATTTCAACCGATACGTCATCCAAGTACTGCTGTCTCCTGATGCCGTCGGAGATAGCCATGACTTGAGTTACCTTTGTCACAGGGTAAACTTAGTCGAAGAGAATAGCATCTCTTCATTCCTAGCGATTGACGATATGATTATGTACCACTGGTAAATAATCGACTACAAAAGAAAAACCTCCCCGAACGAATGACCGCAATACCAAGGTATTGTTCCGTAGTTCCTCCCAACACCCCAATTGCATCCTGTCTCCAGATGCCTGAATCATTGTCCCTTCTTCAGCCTTGATTCCTTATACATATTTCCCGATGTGATCGACCGTGACCAGAATCCCCAAAATCAGTAAACCAATGTCCAAAAGAAGAGATTGCTCAAGAGCTTTCTGTCTACACTTCACCTCTCCACAATATTTTCTGGGAAAGAAGAGTCGTGGCGCCAGATCCATCACAATCGCATAATTCGTAACTTTGGCAGGCACTCCTGTCCCGTCGTCGCCAAGTAATCATTCCGAGACATTTGATCATTCAGTCATCTCATCTCCTGCAACCCCGTGTGGAATCAAATCAGATTCATTGCTCCGGGGTATCTGTTCATGTCTCCGTCAAACCCAAACCCCTCCAACAAGATCTAACCTCTAGATGTAAGATCCAATTTCAGGACTCGACGCAAATCGTCCTCGAGTTGCTGCGCACTAGGTTTGGACTGGTGCATGGGCATTTGAGGCTGCGGCGCATATGGCGGGCTGGTAGGCGCTATTCCATAACGAGGGTCTGGATGCTGCTGCATATGTGAGCCGTGTCTTCTTGCAGTAGAAATTGGTGGCGTAATAGCATTGTCGGACGAAAGCTCGGCATACTCTGGCTCGCTATGATAGACGTTGCGTAGATTTGACGATGGTGGACGTTTGGGAGTATGTGCAGATGCTGGGGGGTAGTGATACGGCATCTGGGGAAAGCCTGGGGGCCCGTGGTAGTCGCGTTGGTCATGTGTATAGAAGGAGGCGGAAGGGTTAGAACTGGGTCGAACGGGCGGTGCTCCTTGTGGCGGTCTATGTGACACAATTTCATGTGGTTGGTGTGGAGGACGAGCATTGAACGGGTTACCCATGTCGCCAGTTCCAGGACTACCAGAGTTCATCAGCAACTTCTTCAATGCCTCGCTCTTCTCTCGTCGTTCATTCTCATCCATGTTCGTCACCGCACCATTCGCCGTCGACTTTGTTGATCTGTATGCAGCGATGCGATCTTTGTACGGGGTCGCAAACGCCAAACCGTCATCACCGGGGGTGGTTGCGCCTTCGAGTTCGAATGGGAACACAGAATCACCCTCTCTGGGGACCGGGGACCGCGAGTAGGGGCTTTGGAGCGCTGCAGATGGATTACGCGACTGGGTAGCTGGACTCTCACCACGCGGCGTAGCCTTAGCTTTCCGGGCAGCCTCGAACAAAAAGTCCAGAGGGGTGGACTCTCTCTTGCTGGGTGAATCGCCCGCCGGAGTACCAGCGTTGGGAGCTGGGGGGCTAGCCTCTTTGCTGGACTGTTCGACGGAGTTGTTTGGTATTGACTTTGAGTAGAAGCTCGGTAATGGGAGAGCAGAGGCCGCTGGGGATTGCTGAAAGGTGGAGCCAGCATATGCCGCAGGCTTCACTGGTGTCGCTTTGGTCTTGTCCAGGTTGGCTTGATTGTGTCGAGAGATGTCTGAGGTGTAACCATCATTGGGATGTTTAGATTGTGCATGTGAAGGCCTCCGCGGGTGAGAGTTGTGATTACCCTTGGTGCCATTGATATTGGTCACAGCATGCGGCGAGGACTTGTGGTGGCCATTCGCAGATGTGGAAGTATTTTGGTCTTGGTCATCTTGTTGGCGATGCTTCTTTCCGGAACGACGTGGGTTCTTAGGAAGGTGTTGCTGTGGGGTCGTCATTCTCCTTTGTTTGGGGAAGGGCTTGATGTATTGGCAGCCCGTGGACCTAGGTAGATAGGATATGAAATGCACAAGAAAGGCTGAAGGATCGCTGGAAGGATCAAGTTGCAAGAACGCAAGTTGTAATGTGGGTGAGATTAGGACGCAGTTACTCTATCTCGAGCGTTTGCGATATGGAAGGGTAGAGAGATCAGGATATTGTAGAGGAAGTTGTTGCTTTGTGAGGAATGCGGTGGTATTGGAGGACGGCGTCGGTTTCATTGTCTAAGGCTGGAGGTGTCGGAGGAGGGGTGTGAGGCAACCAGGACTGTCTAGCACAAACGCAAGGGCAGTCGCAGTGATTGTGTGGGTGATGGCAGAGACTGAGGCTGATAAGAAGCTGGTGCTTAGTTGCAGTAGGTGATGGAAAGGTCGAGCAGCCTGGTGATCTGTGATGGCTGGAGAAGTGACCAGAATGTAGACTGGCCAGGGCGGAAGTGTCAAAGGTGGAGGTTGGAAGGGGAATGATTGGAAGAGAAAGAGCCCGTGGGTTATAAGCGGATTGAGACCAAGTGGGATGGCAGTGCTTAGGCAGTGTTTGCCTTTAAGTCTCTAAAAGCTCCCTGTGATGTCTGATGATGTAACCCAGATGTGGTGACACTCAGGACTAGAAGAAGCGAAGCAAATGAAAAGAATCTTGTGATTGTGAGGCTGATGAGTCAAGAGTCTTTGTTTGTGAAGTTTGGGGCGCAGTGCCTGAGTCGGTATGCAGAGGCAGAGTCCCAGGCATCGTCATAGGCTTGGCCCGGCTGAACCTGCACGTGAAGTGAAGCGCTGTAGGTGTAGCTTTTAGGCAAACATAGGCGCCTGTACATGGGTGGCGATACCGCTTAGGTGGCTACCAAGGGAGCCGCCCAACAAAGTCCCTACCTAGACGCCGCAGCTGACCTTGGAACGAGTCACTGAGTGCAAGTGCGGGGGAGGCATCCTACGAAGTACAGGACCTGGTCAGGCATTATCAATCTCCAAACCATCGCAGCCTTGTCCTCAATAACATCACTTGTTGCCTTTGCCAACCTTTCCAATTGCCATCACCGCATCAGTCAATCCCTGACCCCCACCTCGCATCCTCTGCAGATACTTCATTTGATCCTCCTTCTATACCCGGGGAAATCTTGGACTGCTGAATCCTGCCCCCTACTACCTGTCCAACCAGATTCAACCTAGTCCCCTTCGTCTCTCGGAACCCTGAACTTGCTAGCACGCAGAACTCCATCTCATGGCTGACGTCGACATGCCCGATGCGGGTGCTTCTGGTGAGCCCAAGGCAAAGGCTCCGGTCAAGTCATCAAAGTCAGCTGCGGCAGAAGGTGGCGAAAATAAAAAGAGATTTGAGATCAAGAAGGTAAGGCCCGCAACCAGATCACAGTGTCCAGTTTGTGCAAGGAATAACTCTTATTCAGTGGAACGCCGTTGCGCTCTGGGCTTGGGACATTGTGGTTGACAACTGCGCCATTTGCCGGAACCACATTATGGATCTATGTGAGAAGCACCTTGTTCTTTTCCTCTGGTAATGCCACTGACTCCAAAACGCAGGCATCGAATGCCAGGCAAATCACGGCGCCGCCACCATCGAAGAATGTACTGTAGCATGGGGTATCTGCAATGTAAGATCCCTGACATTGCATCTGTCCCTCCCCAGCTGACCATATTTTCTAGCACGCCTTCCACTTCCACTGCATTTCAAGATGGCTCAAGACTAGACAAGTTTGTCCCCTCGACAATAGAGATTGGGAATTCCAGAAATATGGTCGATAAATGGATCCGGTCAAGTTAACGAAATCACCCAAAAGACGGACTATTCATACGTCTACAGTCCTTCCCTGTTCCAAAGAGGCAGCAGCCGGATCTGTTCTCTCCGACCATGCCTGGAAGTATCGAGATGAGGTCGAGACGGAAAGGGGAGAAAACGTGCAAACAAGGGCAGGCCCAAGACGAAAGTATCCCATCAGGGAATGAATTGATGACACACATCATGGCTTCTGATCCATGCATCAACTACCACAGGTAGACCGCTGAATGAACAATGGAATCATCACCGCATTTTGGCACTACCGTCCACTATCACTCCTTTAGAAAGTAACGCCGCCGTAGATCCAAGCCATGGCTGAGGATTCTGATTGAAGAACGGCCAAGCAGGAACCACGACAAACATTGAGAGAATGGTGCCCGCCAATCCCACCCATAGTGTCAGGTAGATATCTTGTTGAGCATAGCCGAGCACAAGCGCGAGTGCCTATTCAAGAGTCAGTCTAACCGGCTTTATGGCCCCTCAATGTTCCAGAGGATTGTATCTTTACAGAGGTTATGGAGAGCAAGATGGTGTAGATGTTTTCGGCGAGGTATTGTCCTTTGAAGTCCTTAGACCAGGGTCAGCGTCAGTCCGCGTCTTCAGGTTCAAACCCACTTACAATTTGGGCCTCGAAAATGTCTTGCGCTTGAGCGAGAATGTCGTCCATATTGCCAAAGAGTGATTTGGCTTGTTCGTGGAAATGTCATACAGCAATGAGTGGTCATGGTAGAAATAAAGATGGGACGTGTCCCCTTGATGATTTGCGGGCGAAAGTCACGTGAATATTTGGTCACGGGACTGTGCTTCGACGACAATAACTTCCAGTGGTTATCTTCCATTGTGCAAGTCCGTTTACATGATCTTCACACTTCCAACCCATTGTGCCTAACTTCTATCTAGCCATATAGTCATGCTGAGAGAACGTGAAATCATCCAGCCAGTCCGCAACTGAAGTATCTATATCAATATTGGGATCAAATGGGATGTTTTCCAACCAAGCTATATCCTGGGCATCAAGTGCTTGATTGAAATTGATAGCGTTTGCACCCGGAGCCTGTGACACATTTCCCACAAGAAACCCATCTTCTGCTGGAGGAATCATGATACCTCGACTGCTCGACAAATCTGCACTTGGCTGACCAATATTATCTGGGTTTTCCAGGGGCACAGCTGGTGGACACGCTGTCCTCGGGACTGATACTCTCAATGTCAGTATCATGATGCTTTATTATTCGTCGTGGCGCCTTACTTGGGTTATTCAACCTGAAGAGCTGCTTGTCGATCAGGTCGAGCACTTTGAAACATTTGCTTGGTGCATGGCTCTGTTCGCTATATTTTGAAAGACCTCGCAGGCACATGTTCCAACATTCTTGCCACTTTTGGTCGTCTTCCGCCGGCGCAAGTGACGGACAAAGTCTTTGAGCAACAAAAATCGTTCCTGTGGTATATAGGTCTAGGTGTGGTCAGAAAACTGAATTGAACATCATTGAGCCCGAAAATAGACCGCTGATCAAGACTTACAAAAGACATTGTACCACCAAGCAGGCAAAACCACATCTCCTGACATTAAGCTACCATATATCAGATGCGTCAAGTCTTGGGCTGCTTGAATACAGTGGCTTGAGATCTGCTGTAGCATGGATTGCCGCAAAACCGTCTGAATCGGAGCGGTGGATGAGCAAGTAGCTATCGGGCTTCCGTTAGTGGAAAGCAAAACCACCAGGACTGGACGGTAGAGCAGAATTTTGACATGGAGAAATCTATAGTGATTAGTTATCATCATATGACGTGAAGAATTTCATGGCATCCATACCGAGCTTCTAAAACTTTGGCCTGCCGTGCAAAAATTGTAAGTAGTTCTTTAGGCAGCTGTGTTAGAACTGGATCGCTTTCGAGACTCAACGGGGTGCTACCGTCGGAGGAGATGGTTTTATAGGTTGACATCTGCAAGAATAAAGGGATGTTCTCCCGCCACTGAATGAGAGCCATATCCAATTGTAGCATTTCGTGGATGTCGCCGCTTTTGATTTGATCAGTGAGCCGGGACGTTGGGTTGAACCGAGATTTCGGATCTCTGGAGGTTGGGGTCCCCTTAGCCAAAGAGATTCCCCTTCCGTAGACAGTATCAAGGACTTCTCCAACAATTTGGACTAGCTTAACAGCTTGGACGAAGAAGGCAATATAGCTTGGCTTGTCGACAGGTTGACGGCCAGGCGTATTCGATGTCGTTAATTCCTCGTCATCGATAGCATCTAGAAGGCTGATGTGTTGAACCGAGGTCGGGGGAAGCATCAATGGTCTTCCAAACATCATTGATGTGACTCTATACTCGATTAGAACTGAACGGCAGAATCGTTTCACAACATGTCGCACGAGGGTGCATCGTACCTATCATGAAGAATGCAACCACCCCATAATCTCTTCCTTACCTCCGCCTCAAGCTGATTCGACGGCTCGCCTGCTGAGTTGTTATACTCAATGGGCATATCAAGCCCAATCGATTGAGATACTCTGATCGCCAAACCGGTAATATTCCAACACATGCTAGACTTGTCGGTACTTTGAAGATAATGACCCATAAGCAGCAGAGCTTGCACCACGACCAGGTCACTATGCTCGAGGCTGTCGAGGTTGATAAACTCTTTAGCTCGCTGAAAGAAGACATTCCCTGTCTCACACCGTTCGCTCGAGTCGACAGACTGACTATAATGAGTGCCCAAGCTAAAAACTAGGTTAAGGATGCAAAAGAACAACGGCTCATTCGAGTAGCAGTCTTCCAAATAGTCACTCGCATGGCCTGTTTGAACAGGCCTGTTTTGCGCGCGGTGGGGCGGTGCGTTTGAAGCAGACCACAGTCTTTGATAACGTTGGTTGAAGGCAGACTTGAAAAGGTATGGGTAGATAGGATGGACATGTGTCCAATAGCTTGAGAGCAAGTCATCTGCGAGTTCTCTCATGGGAAGAGTATATTTGTGACGGGCAAATGAAGAAATTGGCGTCCTTTGAATCGCGTGTAGGTATCCTAAACCAATTAGAGGACTGATTACCTTTGCTAGTCTATCCAATGACTTACCGTGTTTGTGTTGGTCGTCTTTCATGGTTGATTTGTGGGTTCTGGTGCCTTTTGTAGGCCTGAACACATCTTGAATGTGCTTCATGAATCCTAAAGTACTGGACGGGCCAAAGTAGACTTTCTCTGATACCGACTTTCCGCCTGTACCAGGTTCGTTGTAAGTCGACGACGCTATCGCACCCATTCCATCTGCATCTGCACCGGATTCCTCGTCGTCCTCGGTCTCATCACCATGCGCCACCGGGTCTGAGCAATGGGGTTCATCTGTGGAAACCACGGGATGGACGGCAAGACCTTCGTGCTGCTGTGCATTTACCGAAGACTGTACAATGGTAGAGTTGCTAGGTGCGAGCCACTGTACTGGTTGTATCGACTTGTCGAAGGCATCTACAGCTTGCAAGCCTGTACCAGCAGCAGAAAGGGGTAATGCGCTTGGAGAATTTTCAGATACAGCAACTGGAAGAACACTGGGACTCTGATATGAAGTCGTCGACCCTACATTGGTAATGACATTGAATGCGGGACTGAGACTCTCGATTTGCCTTTGTGTTCGGGTCAGATTTTGTTCTGTGAGCATGTTTTCGAGATGTCGGATTCTATCTTCCAACGTCGCTATATGTCTGCGGATAGTTGTCAGCAACGTCTATGTAGATGACTGTGATGAGCATGAAAATCTGTAGCTAGCCGTTGCCACTGCAATTGTCATCAGGCAGCGGCAGCTAGTCATTTGGTTCACACATACTCAATATGCTGGGTACTGCAATTCTTGTCCTGGACAAATGTGCAACTGGTCTTTCCCAGGACGCGGGAACAAGACCCACAGACCGGCCTTTTGCCATCACATTTCCGTTTTCGCTCGCGACACTCAGTGCAAGCCACTGCGATCTTATGTCGTTTCGGCCGAGCGCTTATCCTTGTCTGAGCGTTGCGCTTGAGCGACGTAGTGGGTGGAGGGTCCATGCTGGACATTGCGTGCCATCAATAAGCCGGTCCTTGAACCGCTCAAGCTCACAAGATCATCATGCAAAGGCGGAAAGAGGGCCAAATTGCAAATGTCAAGTTAGCCCAGGCATTGGGGAGCAATCAGGAACTAATCTCATAGAATCAAAGTCTAGAGAAGCGGAGTAAGTGATGCTTGGGAACCCCAGCTTTCGCTTTTGCGGAACGGTTCCTATTGGAAGATGTAATCCGAGGCTAAGATTAATTCCCCTTCCCTTCCAGCAGGCAAATGCAGCCACAGAGAGACTTTCTCTACCATCAGACCCCTAGAAAGGGTTGTTAGCCAACCACTCGTGCCTTAATATGTCCTTAACTGATAACCGATTCTTGGGCAAGTAGCACATCATCCTAGTCAGTAGATCGCCCAGTAGCTCGATATCCTCCTCAGTAAATTCTGCCTTTGTCTCGGCGCTGAAATAAATTTCGCAAAGGCAGCTTGAAAGTGAACCTCGATATATATAAACCCTAAGGTCACCAACAAGTTCCTTGGCCTGTTTTCTCCAGTCGTCCGGCACATCCCCGAACATTGCAATCCACTCCAATATCAAGAAATCCTTTGTTGCCATGAAGTCATCGAAGGGCGGCTCTCCCGTAATGAGTTCAAAAATCGTACATGCTAGAGACCAGACATCCATTCGCAGGTCCCATGTCGAATCCAGCAGCGTCTCTGGGGCTCTGACCGACATTGGTGTACAAACCTTTGCCAGTGGCTGATCGGTATGGAGGAATGCTTGCCCAAAATCGATGAGCGTTGCATGTACGTGTCCATTGACGTTGAGAATAGGAAACGTAGCTGGCTTTACGACATGTCTTGGGAACCTCCTGGTGATCTGATACTCAGGACACGCATCAATATCATCCAGGACCGGTGGTCTAAGGTGTTTTAATGAGTTTGGGTCTGAGAACTGTCCCTTCCTTTGATAAACCAAGATATTCCCGGTGTGTAGATCTTGACTTTCTTAAAGTGTGGCTCCCAATGGACAAGACCGGGGTAGCAGTTTTTGCACCAGGTTTTGTCGTTTTCAGCACCTGTGTGGAGTGCAGAAGGGTGATTCTCGAAGGCTGGGCTTATGAAGAGGACTCTACTGTGTTTGTTGTCATAGGCGCCGAGGTTCATAAGTACTATGTATTGTTGACTCACGGCACGGCAAGACACAAGGAGACGCGTTGATCGGAGCAACTTTCGATCAAACAACAGTAGTGCCACGCATTAGGAGCGGCACCGATACCTAGACAACAATACACTTTTCGTGGACGGAAAGTATGTATATCTTCTGCTACATCGGATCTTTGTCAGCTAGTTAATCATTTTACTATTGCCAAGTCAGAGACCCGATTGTTTTACTTCAATTTAGCAAACTCCTTTGCGAGTCGTGGGAATACATGCAAGGCATTGTTCCTGGCAATATTCTCCATCGCCTGATCATCGAACAAGCCAGACTTGTAGGGTGCATCCCAGCCCGCTTGGTAACAACTTGTAGAGTCACCGCGCCTTGTATAGGGAAAATCGGTGGCATATAGGAGGTGGTCGGAGGGGATGCCCAAGTCTTTGATGAGCGAATATTGCATGGAGCTTGAGATGCTGGTGTCCAGATAGATATTCTTGGTAGACAGAATCTCTCTTAGACGCATTCCATCGTTGTTTTTGGCAACGATCTCATCGATATGTTGAGCTCCAATCCGATCAGCTAGGAAAGGGAATGCGCCTCCATTGTGAGAGAAGAGGAATTTGACGTTTGGATGGCGGAGTAGTAATCCCGAGCTGATGACAGTGGTGATTGCACGGCAGGTGTCGAAGGCAAATTCTTGAACGACTATTGTCGTATACTGAGTCAGTGGATCATCTTCAACGGTCTGTGGAGTTCTGTCCTCACATGGTCCGAATGGCATATTTGGAGGCATCACCGTGTCTGCCGGGTGAACGAAGACCACGGAGCCTTGCCTGGACAAGGCAGCCCAAACAGGCTCAAATGCTGGATCCCCGAGGTATCTTTTCCCTGCCACGGTGTCAGCTGTGGAAATGTTAGACTCGACTTAACTATCCTTACCCATCGCAGTGGTCACGCCATATCCATCTGGAGGAATAGGTAACGAGGAGGCTTTCTCAATGAAGTCTAAAGTCTCCTGTACGTGTGGTAAAGGTAGGATGGCAAAGCAACCTTGTCACATTCTTGTCAGCATGGCGACAATGGTGTCGAGAAACGCAAATATCGCATACCAAATCTCAGTGGATTGAACGAAACATATTGAAGCTGGGCTTCCAGTGAGTCTTCGCACAACTTGACAAACTCGGCAGCGGTGAACTTATTGTGCCATTCGTTCTTGATGGAGGGTGTCTATGCAATGGTCAGTTCGCAAATCCTACACTTGATGGAGGGCACACTGACGATTACGGCAGTCTGCACACCAACTTCATCCATGTATGCAAGATGCTCCTCGGGCTTTACTGGAAAGTCTGTAAATGCAATGCCATATTTGTTGTCTTGAAATTCAGATCGAAGTTCGGCCACGGTCTCTGGGAAACAATGATGATGTACATCGATGCTGCCCAGACCCTGAAATTGAGTGGAACGTTGAATCTTTGAAATCATGCTTCTTGGTGTCTGCCAGGGCTGTAGAATTACCGGTCTTCAAAGTGCGATGCCTCTATTTATTAAAAGAATGGGAAGCTTGATGTCCTTAGTTGATGGGGTCTTGACCTTTCATTGTATTTGTGCCCTAACATAAAGATATCCGGGGAAACAAAGATGCACTACATCAGTCTCTCGGATGGAATCCAGTCCATACAATTGTTACTAGTGGTTGCGGATGAACTTCCTGGTGAGAGACTGGGTAGATGAGAGATGAGCATCGTTTAGCATACCAATAGGAGTCGTTCCTGGCAAACGGGTTCAACCCGTGGAAGTATCCCACCCCATACGATTTCATTCCATCTATGGGGCCCCACTCCCCACAAGTGGTCTCCTCAAACCTTTGCAGAGAGTATTGGGGAGCAGCTGTGGAAACGGGCCAAATGTCCGGAAGCCACAAAATGATACGTTAAGTTAACTGGAATCGTAATGTTTCAAGAAGGAAAAGTCTGCATTCGTACAGTCTCGAGGAGTCTAAAGGCAATGAAACAAGATTACACGAACATTCCATCGTAGTTTCACGTCCCATTATGAGACCTCAAGCCCCTTCTCAGTGAGTGAGATACTACTCAAGCGCTCGAACGCGAGTGGAAGAAGGAAAGTAATCTTTCGACAGGTTGTCCGATATTGAATACGGTTAGATATTTCCTTTTAAACCGTCTGGATAGTGAACACATTTCCCTATCTACCTGAGAGATCTCAGTCCCAGACTAGAACGGCTTTCACCACAGATCCTGTCTTCATCTCCTCGATGGCAACGTTCAGATCGCGGTAGTGATACTCCTTGACGAGGTCTACAACTGGAAATCTACCCTGTAAGTAGTAATCTAGCAGAGCGGGTATGTACTATTTTCAAGTCAGCAAGATTTATCTTTCACCATGGCGGAAATGATAGTCGTCCAAGGACTGAACCTGGCACATACTAATTGTGGATTTGCAGCACCCATTATGATACCTCGGTAAGTAACTGCAGCGTTGACCATGAATGACGGATGAACCTCGACATTTTTGCCTGACGATGGACCTGCTATCTGTATCCCGGTACCTGCGGAAGTTAGCATAAGCATTATCATCTTGCGAGAAGCTCGAACCGTAAGCTGTCAAGCAGCGAAGCATTGTTCCGATAACATTGACATTACCCGTCGTGTCTATTGCAAAATCGAGTCCCCGACCACCTGTGGCATCTTTGATAGCTTGAATACAAGCATCATTGCCTTGGCGTGAGTTGAAGCAAAGTGTCGCACCCATGGATGCTGCGACGTCCAGCTTGGGCTGGGAGATATCCACAGCAATGATGGAGCTTGCTGCGGAAAGATTTCTCGCCGCGGCAATGGCTGCGAGACCGACTGCACCAACTCCAAAGACCCCGATACTAGAGCCTGGTCCCGGTTTGCATACGTTCAAGACTGTGCCTGAACCGGTCATAAATCCGCAGCCCAATGATGCCAGACGAGCCCATGGGACATCGTCGCCAGAGGCCAGCTTCATGGACTTTGGGTTCAGCTTGACGCATGAGCGAACATTGACATTCGCAAATGTTGCAAATGTAGATTGTCCAAAAAATTTAGTCGTCAATGAAATTGCTTCGTTCCCTTGTTGGTCCTCGGCAGAAGTTGAGGGTATTGTGTGCACGTTCTCGGTCCGTGTCCCCATCAAATTCAAGGCTAGAAATTCGCTACAAGCAGTTGGGACGCCAGATAGACAGCTGTGGCACGAGGAACATGACGCAAAAGAGAGGACCACGCGGTCCCCTTCCTGCAGGTTGGAGACTCCAGGTCCAACCTCCACAATCTCTCCCGCTCCCTCGTGCCCAAGGATGGCCGGGAGTTGTGCAGGAAGGTCGCCATCAGCAGCGAGGATATCTACGACCAAGTTAGTATCGATCCGCAATAACAGCTTGAGCAGCAGACCGGTATGGCAGATGCCTGTAGCCTTGAGTTTCACTCTGACTTCATCCGCTTTTAGAGGTCCCAACTTGACTTCTTGTAGCGCGAAGCGGGTACCGTTCCCATGGGACACCCAAGATGTGGTTTCTTGGGACATTCTCAACGAGGAGCAAAGCTCACAGGAAGCGCTGGTGATACTGGCTAAGTGTAGACTACTGTGCGAGAAATATTGCCCGCATTCTTAATACGCAAACACACCCCGATCCCCACCGGGTATGTTTAGGGAAGCAGGCGTTCGGGGCTTTGTTCACGAAACTCCACAATGCATCCCCGGCATGTCTCCGGCGGTTTGGTGTCTTGGGGTCTTGGGGTCTCGGGGGAGTGAGTCGGTGGGCTCTGGCGGGGCAAGTTTGTTTCGGAGATTTTCGATCCACACGGGTCTATTGCAAGTTGATCGTTAAGGGAATCTTTCCGGTTGGCTTAGGCTATATCTGAATAAACAGGATGTAGACCTCCTTTGGTGCAATCGATGTAAGTAGAGAACCGTTTAAAATGGGCGATCTTATGTATCTCCTGCTGGCGATGTCAATGGAGGACACCAAAGTCGCAAGTGCACACTTCAAAGAGCCAGAGACCCGACATTGTTACATACAAACATGGAGCCCGAAAAAGAAAAGGCTGAAATCCCTGGGGCCTCCACAGAACACGTTGACGCAGTCTCCGTCACTGATGGCGTAGCAGAACGACCTAAAGGCACGAAGAGGATGATGTCGCTAGGCTTGTACGTCGGACTAACAGGATGGATGTACAATTTTGATCTCGGTAAGATATTTGCATGGGCCACAAATTCATACACGCCGATTCCTTCCACGATTCAAACGCTGAACATGTGTGAACAGGCTACAGTGGCATCGTGCTCCAAATGATGCCCTTCAAGGAGGCCTTTGGACGTCTGGGACCAATCAGGACTCCAGCCGGAGAGGTGGTGCAAGAATACTATCTGACACCATTAGAACAATCCCTCGTCTCGGTAGCTATATTGTTCATTGCCGTGGGAGGCGCCCTCGCAGGCCCTTTGGGTCAATATGCAGGTCGCCGCGGTGTGACCCAAGCATCTTGTGCTCTGATCGGCATCGGGGCTGGAGGAATGTTGGGTACAAGTGGCAGTTACCTCAACTACATGGTTTGCAAGTGCATCCAGGGCGTAGGGCTAGGTATGCTCCTAGCTACAACACCTCTCTGGGCCGTTGAGGTCTTGTTCCCTCACATGCGAGGTGTGTTTAGTGGACTATTCAGCTGGGGGTTGGCTTTTGGACAAATGACCGCCGCCTGTGTTTGCTACGGTAGTTCAAAGTATACGAACCACATGGCATGGCAGATCCCTATCATTTGTCACATACCACTAGCGATGGTCTTTGGGTTGCTCACATTTGCGTTCCCAGAATCACCCAGGTGGCTGTTGATCAAGAATCGAGAAGTGGAAGCGCGGAAGTCCTTCAGCATATACTACGGAAAGCCTATCGACGACCCGGATGTTTCTTACCAAATTCAGCAAGTTCAGCAACATATTGAGCTGGATCTTTCAGCTCATCGGACCTCAAGCTTCTTCGACATTTTCCGAGGGGCCAATTTGAGGAGAACGACGGCAGCTATCATCGTTGTTCTCGGAATCGCCATCACTGGTGTGAGATTCATCACCACGTACGCCACCATTTTCGTGGCGGGGATAGGAATTGATGACCCATATCTTGTTAACGTGATCATGGGATCAAGTTCTTGTGTTGGAACTCTTTTTAATCCCTGGGTGATTGAATACTGGGGAAGACGATTCGCTCTGTTGGCTGGTTATGCAGGATTAGCTGTCATGATGTTTCTTATCGCAGCGGTCGGCTCCGGACTAGGACAGTCAAACCCTATTGCGCAGCGCACCCTTGTGGCATTCCTGACGCTTTGGTATTTCATCTTTGGATTCTTCGTCAGTGCAAGTTTGGGGACCATCTCCCCAGAACAACACTCATTACGTCTTCGCACCTATGGTCAGGCATTCACGATCTACATCTATGAAATTTTTGCGTTCGGGCTTTCATTCTCGATTCCGTACATGATTGGCAGCCAATATGGGAATATGGGGCTGAATGTTGGATACTTCTTCTGTGGTAAGTCTTTCCTTTCTCTCTACCCGATCGACTGCCGTCGTGTGGTCACGTAGCTTATTTCCTTTCAGGTTTGTCCGTTATACTTTTCACCGGATGCTTCTTCTTTCTCCCGGAAACTGCTCGTCTGAGTCTCGAGCAGATCGATGAACAGTACAACAGTCAGGTGCCAGCTTGGAAGACATCTCTTAGGAAGAACAAGAAGATGGCAGCCCAAACAAGAGGTTTCTGATCTGCTGAGGGTTGTCGAAGAAAAGCTTTGGATGGAAGTTTGGGGGAATGTATCAGGGCACCGACATATGCATGCTACTCCTCAGCATATCTATAGCCTATGCCAAATAAGGACATAGACTAGGCCTCATAGGCACTTCTTCAAGGGCCGCTCGGGCTTCTTCGGCACTCGAGGCACGCCCAAAGGCACACTCTCCAGGTCACACTCTTCAGGGCTCCCTCCAGATAGTACTTCCAGGGTCCACTTCGCCATTCCTATAGGGATGATTAGGCTGTCATGTGTCTGTAGAGTTGCTAAGGAATAGCGTGCACATGTAGCTACCCCGATACATTCTTGGGGTTTTGGAGATCTAGAACTGTTTTCATTGCGAGACGTCATGACGTGCTGAGTAAAGAGGTTGTTTTCCGTGGACTAGATTTACACCAAGGCACCAAGGACAAGTCAACCTTACATTTGGCCCAAAACCTCAAAGGGTGATGACTCCTCGTCCTCGCTTAGAATTGTGATGTCCTTGCCAAGAGCGATGTGTTGATGATATAGGCTCCCATCTTGACCACCCCCACACTTCATCCACTCAGCCACGTGCAAGCCTCACGCAAGCCTCATTGCCAAGGTGGCGCATGAGTCACATGACAAACTCCCTCCTACAGTACGGAGTAGATGCGGGGCGACAAGCGTAGGCGAGAGGCAGGAGGGAATGCCCGAGGCCCAGCGGCGACTTCCTCTTTTTTAGTGCGGTGCGTGGTTTATGTCCAGGCATTCTATTGGACCACAGGGACAGCGATAATGCCCCCAACCAAAGCAGACTTTTCCTTGCTTCTGGCCAGACGTTGGCCAGACAGACCTACAAAGTGACATCGCCGCGCTTTTGCTCTTTGATTTTTCTCTCCTCCCACCACCAACACCTCGTAGTGTTTTCCACTTTCAACCTCGAAATATATAACAACACCAATTTCGACACTTTGTCGTTCTCACTCAACATATCTGAACCGTCCTGACCCAACTTTGGATCTCGTTCGGTCGAAATCAGCACCAGCAACAGCTTCAACACCAGCGCACCCTAGCACTCTGCTCTCAGGAAGGACTGATCACAGCCTTCCTAATCCCATAGCACCCACCCAACCTGGCTCTCGATAGCTCTTTTCCACACCCGGCCTTCAAGTTGGCTACCTCCCAGATCATCGTCATCTCCTTCATCCGCCCTTTGCTCGGCACTGCCTTCATGAACTTCTCGGGCTCCCAGACTCGACCTCCATAACTGGCCCTACTCCACCTACTCTTAATTCAATCTCCTCGGCCGGGCGTGGCTTGAGGAGTTTTGGTCACGCAATCTTTATAATACAACACAACACACATTTGGTGCATGCTAGACGTACCACAAATCTGCCACTACCTGTTCAAGAGGTAGCTCCAACTGGCTAAGTCGGCATTTCACATGCGCTGATCAAGAGTATTACCTCACAAGCGAACCCCCACCAGTGTATCAAAGAGGTCGAGTCGCAATGTCGTCTTCCAACTCTGTTCACTCCCAGAAGATGGACACCCGTTTCAGCACCCCTGCTCCGGAGCTTGACGACCACCGTCGTCCTCGGAACACCAACCCGGCGTCTGCCATGGTACCCTCCGTCGAGGTACATCCATCCACTCCAGCACCGAGCGGTCTCGACGAGAAAGACATCGAGCATATCAACGCAAAGCTCCTTCATAGCAAGGACCAGGAGCCTATCACACGAGACTTTGAACATGCTATCTTGAGTGATGACGAGAGAAGCGACGGTGAACCTGAAAGCGCGAGACGGATCTCGAATCGCCGACCAACCAATCGAGACGGACGCCCCCGTGTCCAGCGCCAGGAACGCCAGGACCGATCTCGAGACACTTCATCTTCTCGCTCTACTTCTCCCGCCAACTCGGTCGAAGCCTTTGCAGAACCACGTCGCCGCCACCGCGCCAACACTGCCGACAGCCATTCGTCGTCGATCATCGAAAATCTCCTCCGTCGCACTCAATCCGGCGGCACCAACCAGCGACGTCCAACTTTGAGCAATATCAGCGTTCCAGGGCCACCCACTCATCGCACGGACCGAGCATATGACGATGATGTAACCTTTGAGCCTGACGAGGAACCAGGCAAGACGTACAAGATTGATTATGAGGAACTCGAGGAATATGTTGCCTTGGTTGCACAGGGCAAGATCGAAGATGATACTCCACACCACGGTAGTGGCCGAGTCTTTAACGATCTCCGCCGTAAGAAGACCAACGAAAGCACCCAGTCGTTGCCAAATATTGCCCTGAATGGTGACAACTTTTATGAGAAGCCCTTGACGACCTACGAGACTGGCACTACCGACTCATCTTCTGAGGAGAAGCCAAACCTGAAAGAGAAATTTCCCGTGCTCCCACCATCAGAGAGGTTCTATCTGTTCTCGTCTGAACTTCCCCAAGGACAGACCGCCACCAAGCTTGGGGATTTCGTGTCGGACGGCACCACCTTCCGCGATCTCTTTGACATTGGTCCAGATGGAGGTGTGTGGTGGCTTGACGTCCTCAACCCCACTCCATCCGAGCTTAGTGTGCTAGCCAAAGCCTTCAAGATTCATCGACTCACCGCCGAAGATATCGAAACCCAAGAAGCCCGCGAGAAGGTCGAACTGTTTCCACAATATTACTTTGTGTGTTTCCGCACCTTCAACCCCGATCACAGCAGTGAAGATTTCTTGGACCCAATCCACGTCTACATTGTCGTGACCAGCGATGGCGTCTTGAGTTTCAGTTACACCCCAAATCCTCATGCACGCAACGTCCGGAAGCGGATTGCCAAACTTCCGGATTTTGAATCTCTCGGTCCTGACTATATCTGTTACGCCATGATTGACGACATTGTCGATTCATTTGCACCTCCAATTCGAGGTGCCGAGAGAGAGTCAGAGGCGATCGAGGATCAAGTGTTTGTGGCGCGAGAAGATAACTATGTGGCTTTGCTCAGACAGATTGGAGAATGCCGGAAGCGTGTTCTCAACATGATGCGCCTCCTCGGCGGCAAGGCCGATGTCATCAAGGGCTTCGCCAAAAGATGCAACGACCAATACAACATGATGCCTCGCGGTGACATTGGTTTGTATCTAGGCGACATCCAGGATCACGTGGTCACTATGATGTCCAACTTGGGTCACGTGGAAAAGATGCTTTCGCGGTCCCATGCCAACTACCTCGCTCAGTTGAATGTCGACAGCATCTTGAAGGGTAACACGACCAACAAGGCGCTGACCAAGATCACCGTGGTGGCAACGATTCTGGTGCCCCTGAATCTGATCACGGGCTTGTTTGGTATGAACGTGACCATCCCCGGTGAGAATCAGGGGACGCTTTACTGGTTTTTTGGAATTATTGGAGGCATTATCTGTTTTGTCGCATTCTGTCTCTTTATGGCACGACGACTCCGTGCAATCTAGAGGGTGTGGATTTGTGCAATAGAAGTTTGTTGCTTTTCTTTGGTTCTTTCTGGTTTTGGATTTCTGAAAGGATGATGCATGTCTAAAGCCATGAACATGCTACAAGCCTAGCTAGACATGCTCAGCTAATATAGATAGGTGGTTGTACATGGAGAATAATCGCGAATGCTATCAGTTGCAATTTCATGTCGAGACTTGAGATACGAGAATGTCCCCAACGTGACACATGACCTGGTGTATTCTCTGCGTATCTACATGGAGGTAGAGGCATATTGTCCACACCAGGATGCTGCCCGTAGAAAGACTTGCAGCAACGGAATGATTCTGAAAATGATAGGCAAACAAGTCGCCATTCGGTAAGAGATGTCCCTAAATATACAACCAACTGCCCAATACCTGGAAGTTGACGCAAAGCCAAGAGCCTGCCTAGGTAGTCAATTCGATGGGATGCAGGATGCATGATGCATGATGTAAAGGCCGCAAGAGACCTACCCTTTGTGGTCGGACATTTCGAGCGTACCTGCATTAACCTACAGTAGATGGAGGACAACCTGTGTCATCATTGGAGCTCAGCACAGGTAGGCATTGGTAGGCATTGGTAGGGCATGAGGTAATGGTGTAGGGTCAACAAATCATCGCTAGCTGACCAAAGTTGGGTATTTGTTTTGTGGTAGGCTGCATGCAAACTACCAAGGACTGATAGGATGTTTGGGACGAGGATTGTAGGAGAAAGTTTTGTTGAATAGTCGTAAAGTGTTGTTCATCACAGTCGATGATTTTACAATGGGGGCGACTTGGGGGGCACGTTGGGGGCTACTGGCTGCTTAGGGGCGAAGGGGGCCTGGGGCTCATCTGCAATGTGCAGAAAGGAATAAATGCGGGGGCAATTCCTCAAATATCATGGACCATATCAAGATTTCATGGTATCATTTTACTAACAACATAGGTATCACGCACAGGTAAGCACTATTCATATCATGCATCTCATAAGTTGGAAGTGGTCTCCGAGTCCCAAGGGTCAGAAGTCGGGTCTACAGCCACGCTCCACGCAGTATTCTACTCGCCACGAGCTTGAAGGATGATCGACACAAGAAAGAGATCGACATCGATGATTCAGATATGTCGCACATGGCGAATCACGATTCAGAATCATGATAGATTCAAGGTATAGTCCCTGTAAATACAATAGAGGGGCACAGGGAATTCATAAAAGTAGGATTCGACTTTTGATCAAGCGGACAGTGCGCGGCAGGCTCACAAAAGATCGGATGCACTGTGGAATGGCATTTTCATTTCGAATGGTGCTCCTCTCATTTGCCCTCATCGTCCTCGAGCAATGACATGTGAAAGAAGAATTGGAAGTGGCACCCCAGTGCCCCCGATGCCCCCTCCCCTTTTGCACGTATCGTACCTTGACCGTGCTTGATCCAACCAGAGGGTCCAGGCAATCTCCAGGAGCTCCAGAAGCCTTTCAGTTAGGCTATGAAGCCGAGGGGTTCGAGAGCCTATCGGCTTAGTGCACGCCACGAAAAGGCTTATGTGTCCAAACGGGACTTAACGCGCGTACAAGGCGCGATCTCTATGAAGCCCCGTGTTGTGGGAAACAATCATCAGACCATCCGTTGTATGTTGATGACAATGATGGTCTGGACATAAAAAATTCAAGTTGACCGTTTGAACACGCGTAAGATGGTCATCATGGCAGTCTTGTGGGGAGCTGGAGGCTTTGTCAGCCAAGTCTGGCGTTCCTGTTGGGCAACGCGTTGATGCACAAAATCCGGGCAGACTCGTGGCGGCGGCTAACAACCAACAAACGCTGAAGCAGCTAACAAAGATGAGTTTCCAGGGATGATCAGCCTGCTGGACACACTGTGATCGCCTTTTGTCTCTTATCTCAAATCGTAGAGGTTCAAACACTTGTTGCCAACGGACAAGTTTAAAGCAAGTGATAAAAAATACATCGCCGTACTTTGATCACAAGGCAACAAACAGTCTACCTGTGTGGCAATTGAGTGGTGCTTGTTTTTGTTGTTATTGTTGTAGACGGATTCGTCTCAGGCGTAATAAGGGGGATATGCAACCGCCCTCGAGCCTTTTATCAGCTTCTCTCTTCCTCTCTCTCCATCAGACAAGTCCAATGCCAATGCCCACTAACCTCATCAAAAGAAGGTAGTTGTCTTGACTAAAAATCTTTGATGAACCAGACCCCAGTTCCCCCCTGACACACCCACAATCAAGGCTCCTCGGCCCAAATAGCCTAGGCCCAGGGGAGCCCCTCGGCCCCATTGTTCTGCATCCCAGGCACGCACTCACCTAACAAGTTGTCAGTGAGGACGGCCAGGCCCAACTTCCAAGACCCAAAGCCCCCGAAACCCGCAGTGCAGTTGGGACCTTTTTACGTGGTCTTCTTGTGTTTGACCCTCAAGTCACCTTTTGACCCTTTTTCGCATCTCAGTCAGAGTGCGTCTGCATTACGGAGTACATTATTATTACATTGCACGCCTGTGCCGGTGCCTGTGCTTGTATTCGTACCTGCGCCTGCGTCTGCGCCTGCCTGCGTCTGTCCGTCACTCCAGTCAATCAATTAATTCTCATCCTTCCCTCCTTCCTCCCACCAACACAATTTCAATCTCATCCACCATTCCACCACTTTTCAACATTGGCCACACTGCCGCGGACAGTACAGCCAACTCAAACATCCTTCTTCCACTTCACTTGGATTGAATTCTTCAGATCTGTGATCTACTCGAATTCTCTTTTCGGTCTCTCGCTTTGTCTCGCACCTACCTCGCTCGTTCATCCTCACCGCATCCGTCACCAGCACCCTCACCCTCGTTCCCTGTTTTCAGCATCTCCAGCAGCCAATAAACAAACTCTTTGTTCAGCCGCCGACTCACGAATACACATGCCCTCTTAGTCCGACCAACACTTGGTTGCTTGTCAACGCCTCGTCTTTCTCTATCAAACTGGCAACAACTACTGTCTTGCATCAGCCTACCATGGCGAACCCGTCAGTACTTCCCATCGCAGTCACCTCTACCCCAGCTCATCCCACCACATCAACTATTCCTCCTACTCCTGCTCCTGCTCCTGCTCCTGCTCCTGACAATAAAAGCCTTCTTCTAACCCCCAACAGTCTCACTTCAGCATGGCGCTCCTTTTGGCACACAATGACCTCCAACGACCGACACGCATCTCATGACTCCCCTTACCGAACCGGTAATCATATCGCAGTTGCCCAGAATCGGCATGCCCCTTTGACTTCTGTTGCAACCACAGCAGGCGATTCCCAGCCTGATCTTTCTGCTACCTACCATGACGACTCCAAACGGCCCTCAGTATCGTCCTCTCATGTTCCCGCCTCTCCAGCACGGCCATACTCCCCGGGCATGCGCTCTTTGTCATCTCCCAAAGTCGTCAGCGCATCCGTGGACGAAGTCATCTCCCCAGGAGAGATTCAAATGCAGAGTTTCGCCGACGGTGCTCCTCCGCCTCCACCAGTTTCCCATTCCTGGAAGAAGATCGATCGCTGGGCGGAAAAACACTACACTGAGCTCTTCGATAATCTTTGCGAAGGGTGTACTCAGAATGACATCAACGAATTAGAACATGAACTCGACATTTCACTCCCTCAGGATGTCCGCGACTCACTAGCCATTCACGATGGCCAGGAACGAGGCGGAAGACCAACTGGTATCATTTTCGGCTGCATGTTACTTGATTGTGAGGAAATTGTCCAAGAGTTGAGAAACTGGAAAGTCGTCAACGAAGAATATCTCAACAGCGGGCCACGACGACAACAATACAGCTCCAAGGGCCTTTCCAACGGTTCGTCCTCGTCCTCGTCCTCAGCCCAACAACCCCCCAACAGTCGTTATTGGCGGCAGGAACTGCTCGACAGACAAGACTCGCAACCTCCCAAAGCCATTCAAAAAGCTTATGCTCATCCCAGCTGGATTTCCCTCGCTCGTGACTGGGGTGGCAACAATATCGCTGTCGACCTGGCCCCCGGGCCCGCAGGCAAATGGGGCCAAGTCATCCTTTTTGGTCGAGACTATGACACCAAATATGTTGTCGCTCGATCCTGGGCTCACTTCCTAGCTATTGTTGCCGATGACATCAACAGTGAGAGAGTCTTTGTCGACGAAGATTCAGGCGAGTTGAAATTGAGAGAGTTCAAGACTGAAACCGTCGAACCTCCATACATGGACATTCTCCGGTGGAGGGCCGACCAGAAATACGGCAGGCAACGACCTCGTCCCAAAGGCCCTCCGCCTGGCCTGAACACAAATGTGGCTGCAGCAAACGGACGACATTCGCCTTATGGAAGCCCCGTGCTGGGCACAGAGGACCGAGGACGATCCCCCCAACGATTCTCGCGAGGTCCAAGTGGAAGTCCCAGACACGCTGTGAGCAGCCCACTCGCTCGCGTCCAAGAAGAAATTGCTCAGCCACAAGCTGTCAGACCTGGTGGAGACAAAGTCAAGGATTTCGCGCAGGTCGTCGAAAAGGGACAAAGCAAGAAGAAACCGGCTGACGATCTTGGCCGGATAGACGTTGCGGCAGTCAATGAAGCCACCAAAGCAGATAAACTGGTCGATGCGCCCACTCCGGCCTCTCTAAAGGGTTCCGAGGCTCGCGAATCCGCGACTCGACTAACCAGAACCTCAACAGAAAGTGACAACAAGGAAAATCGCAATGAGAAAGATGCCAAAGGCGACATGATGGGTCTCGGTGTCGATGGAATTGAAGATGAAATGAAGACAGTGACAATATGATTGTGGACTGTTTTTCCCGCAGTCGATGGCGCACATGGTATTATTCTTGGGTCGTGGACGCGGAACTTTGTCCTGGATGAGCTTGGTAGACCTGCCTCTCCATGCCATAGCCCGGTCCACATGAGCATACGATGGATGGCGTCCATCTTTGTCAAAAATATACCAATTTTGGGAAATGGATTCGAGGGCGGAAGGGATCTGGGGCACCGCTTCAGATAAAGCGGATGCTGAACTGGCGTTTGTACTACAGAATCAAGCCTTGTCACCAGGTATAAATGTAAAGTAGCGGTGGCGTCTATTCTTGACGACTGCTTTTCTACCTTTTGCTTTCACGGCGCTGCATAGACACCGAGGTCTTGGTGAATTCAAACCAGCCAGAAGAAATGGGATGAGCGATCAAGATGGGTTTATCGCTTAACGTTTGAGGGCGCTATCGATACTGGATACTGTCACATAAAACCCATCGCATAAAAACAAGCCAGTCATTGATCATCATCATATCTCATCTTTGTTCCAATTGGAGAAATACACACACACCGCCATCATCATATCACCTCTCGCTCAATCCTGCCCATCAAGCACGATACAGAAATTATTCCTTGTGGCGCCAGGATTAATCTCACGTTTGCGAAAGGCAACCCTTGGCCCTGATTGTTGGTGAGGCCTCGATTCTCCTAGTCGATCTCTCCCATCCCATCTCCACAAACTATAGTACAACTTCGCCGTCGTCTTGTCATTCAAAAGACAATATCCCAACGCATTCATTATATCCGTCAGATGACCCACCGTCAGATACCGCGAGTTATGCACACATGCACCTGGCAGCACGAGGAACAGGCATGGCAGTTTCGTATCCGATGTTGAAGTCCGATCAGAGCTTTCAGCCTTGCTGCTCTCGACTTCGATATCGGCGTCGGCGTCGGCGTCGGCGTCGCTGGTATTGGCCAATTCAGCCTCGCGAAAAAATCTCGTCGTCCGTCGTAACATAGCCCCTCGCGCCTGTGCATCCGGGACGTAATTCAACACCAGACTGAGACTAACAACATCATAGCCTGGTCGATCATAGTCCCACGATTGAGGGTCTGTCGATGATGTCGGCAGTGGTAATGCCATGAAATCGATTTCTTCGATCCCTGGCCCCGAACTGCGTAAATCGATTCTACGTACTCGTGTGACGTTGTTGACGTTGAGTGCATTGCTCGTGCTGAGGGCTCCGATTTCGAGGATTTTTAAAGGTAGAGGCGGCCTTGAGTGGGATGTGGATGTGGACGTGGATGTGGATTCAGAATGAGATCGTTTCCTTCGAATTTGAATCTCATCATGTAACCATTCGACCAATACTCGACTTGAATCTCCACCACGGGTTTTACTCTGTCCGATAGTGCTGGCGACTTGATAACTTTTCAAGCCGCCTGTCGCTGCGAGTTGTGATTCCAAGTCTGCGACGAGAGATGTGTCGTTGATGGATTTGGCGTGGCTAAGGCGTTTTTGTAATGTGTGGTGTTGCCGGATTAATGTCCGTGTGTGTTTGGCGGATTGGGAGCCGAGTGTGGAAGGATTTGATGTTGAGGTTAGAGTGGGTGGACGGCCGGATTTGAGTGATGTGATTTTTGGTTTTGATTTAGATCTGGAGGGAGCCATGATGAGTATGAGTCTATGGTTTTCTTCTCATGCGCTGGCTCCTTTAAGTAATTGATGTTACCGAGTGGTAGTGGGCATTGTCGTCGTTCTAGGTGAGGCTTGACTCGTTGGGTTTGTAGCGAGGTCCATATAGCATGCATGCACGATGCTGTGCACTGGGTTTGTATTTCTCGATTTACACCTTAGGTCTGTCTCCGAACATGTCGTTCTGAGGTAGGATTGCAGCGGTTCTGTTCCTGTTCATTGATCACAAGAGTAGAAAACATCGACATGAGGTTGAAGCACAAAATATCTGCAGTTCAAATGACAAGATATTTTAACAATTTGTGGATGTTACCATATGTCAGAACAGGATAATACCTCATGTCAGACTAACATTGATGCTTGATTCCCCATATTTGCCTTTTTCGACTTTTACCTCATGTCTTTCTGATATCCGAATCTCAACCAGTAATACCACCTAGCATTTTGTTTGACATGTCTTCTAGGTGATTTTTTTCAAAAGGGGAATGGCACATGGGTAGAAGACAGTTGGTAGCCTACGCTTACGCCCGAGTTCGGCAACAGAACTCCCATCCAAATGGGCAAATTTAAAAGAATTGCAAGGAAGCAAACCAACCACCATCAGAACCCCAGAGCTGGTAAAGAATCAGGTGCCGGCACCAAGCCAGACAAGCAACAAAAACACTCCCAGCTACCCAGTAAAGCACCTGTTACCACCAAGTCTCCTCAGCAGGCTCGACAAAAAGTCCAATTTTCGAAATATGACAATGTCCTGCTAGTGGGCGAAGGTGAGAGAGATACATGTCTTGTCGACTCAGTACCGAAAGACGACTGCCATAGACCAGGCTGTGTAGCTAACCTGTCTCAGGCGACTTCTCCTTCGCCTTGTCGTTGGTAAAAAATCACCGCTTTCATCATCTGGTAGCCACTTGCTATGATTCGGCCGACGTGTTGCATAACAAATACCCAAATATCGATCAGACCATCAAGCGGCTTGTCCCTGTCGATGTATTGACCAGCAGCAGTGACTCACCTCAGACAGGAGCCTCTGATGGTTATGACGACAATGAGGATGAATGGGGCGGCCTGTCTCCGTCCGAAGCCAGCTCAGAAGCACAAGATACGGATCTGCTCGAAACGGAAAGCAAGAAGCAGTCAAAGATCCAAGTACTGTACGGGATAGATGCTACGAAATTATCAAGTGCACACAGCAAAACCTTACGATCTTCAGCACCGTACACCAAGATTGTATTCAACTTCCCTCACGTAGGAGGCCTCAGCACCGATGTTAATCGACAGGTGCGATACAATCAAGAGCTTCTGGTCGGGTTTTTCAAGGCCGCCAAGGGTCTCCTCTCAACCCCAAGTCGACCTGCTCGTGTAGCAGTCAAATCTGACCAATATAGCACTGACGACGAAGGACTTTCCGACGAGCCAACGACCGAAGAGAAACAAAAACAAAACGGCGCCATCAGCGGACAAATTCTTGTCACACTCTTCGAAGGAGAGCCCTATACATTATGGAACATTCGAGATCTTGCTCGGCATTCGGGCCTGAAAGTTGTCGAGAGTTTCGCCTTCCCATGGTCAGCATATCCTGGCTATCGCCATGCCAGGACCATCGGCGACATCACGCATGGAAAGGACAGGGCGGATGAAGGCAAGCGCAAGGGAGCTTGGCGAGGAGAAGAGAGGGATGCTCGGTGCTATGTGCTCGAGGACAAGGCTGCAATGCCAGCGGCTGTTCGAATCAAGAAAAGGAAGAGAAAGTTGGGTGAGGAAGAAGATGGGGATAGCGAGTGATTTCGTTTATGAGATATGTCTACGTCCATTCAGGTCGGTTCAGAGCACTACTTTTCATATTCATGCTCCAATCTGTCGTCGCACCGATACTCCTTTCAATTTATTCTTGATAGGGTTTTGTTCTCAAAGAATCTCTCTCATGAAATTGTTAAGAGAGGTGTGTTTGCTTTTGTGGTCACGTTAAAGCAGCGACATTACTCTTTTCTCTAAGTAGAATGTTTGCCGACCTTAATCTTTTAGAAACATCACATCGTCACACTACGCTTTGCTTTTGTTCTCATTGGCACGACCTGCAGTTCTAACCAGCGTCATTCTTTGTTCACTTTACTCATACCCTGATCAAACTCAGTTGATCCCCTCCATTGTCTCTCATCCTTGGAGTCCGACTCCTTTTTAGACATGTCGGACGAAGCTCCGCGCAAGCGGTCGCGATTCGACCAGACCGAGCCCGAGCCTCGAAAACCCTCTCGTTTCGATCGTCGCTCGAGATCCCCTTCCTCTCGACAACAAGAGTCCAGGAGAAGTCGCAGTCCTCAGCGGAGTAAGGATAGCCAGAGTCCTGCTGTCGGCGAAAAGCGCAGCACCCCCATCGATCCCACCGCAGCTGCTGGTAAGAGACATACACCCTGTTTCATATTTCCCTTTCACTTCCCACGCCATGCGCTAACCTCTTCTCGCAGCCGCTGCCGCCGCAAAGATCAGCGCCGACTTGCAAGCTCGCAAGGGAATCCAGCACGTCGACGTACCCCCGATCCAATCTGTAAGCAGAACCATGTTGCACACCCCGCCTCTAATTATTCCGACTGACACCTGCGCAGTCCTCTTCTCCAGGACCCCGTGACCAATCATCGTCCACTCCTACTGGCGGCGCAAGCACCCACAATGTGGGCGGCGACATCTACACTGCGGACGGTGACTATATTAAGGATATTGAGATCAACGATCTGCGTAATCGCTATGTCTTGACCAAAGGCTCCACTCAGAAGATGGTATGTGCTATGCAGATCTGTAACATTGACTTACTAATTTCGTGTTCCAGATCAAAGAAGAAACTGGCGCTGGTACGTGAAGAATATGCCCAATCATGCCTTAGTCGACACCCACACTAACCTTCAACAGATGTTACCACGCGCGGCTCATACTACCCCATCAAGAGCATGGCTACTGCAGCAGTAGGTTCACTTGTTTTGGGCAATATCATAGTCGCTAATACAGCCATAGAACCCCCCTCTCTACCTTCACGTCACAAGTACATCTAAGTCTGGTCTCGAAAAAGCCATTGTCAAAATTGAAGAACTCATGCAACAGGAACTACCTAATCTGGTCGACGAGCGACGATTTCGTCGCCGAGAACCGGAGCAGGTCGAACGTGACGAATTTGGTCGAGTATGTCACCCCTCTTCTCCGTAAAGATGATTGCTAACCTGAGAAGCGCAAATGGCCCGAAGAACGGATCCCACTCGACATGGAAAACATCCCTGGCTTCAACTTGAGAGCCCAGGTTGTCGGACAAGGCGGTGCCTATGTCAAACACATCCAGCAAGAAACTGGATGTCGCGTCCAGATCAAGGGCCGTGGCAGTGGATTCATGGAACATAGTACTGGCCAAGAATCCGATGAACCCATGTACTTGCATGTTGCTGGCCCACAGCCACAGCAAGTTCAGAAAGCCAAGGAGCTCTGTGAGGATCTTCTGGTCAACGTACGAGCCAATTTCGAGCATTTCAAGGCTAACCCACCGCCACAACGCATGGAATCATACACGGATGGTTATGGTGCAGACGCTAACCGAGGCTCCTATGGCGGGTATGGCCGTGACCGAGGTCGTGAAAACAGCTACTCGCACAACAGCAACAACTACAATTCCCCCTACTCAGCGACCCCATCGACCCCTGCACCGGGAACTGCGGCCTCGCCCACCGACTACGCTGCTCAACAGGCTCAGTACGCTCAATACTTTGCTAACCAACCTGGTGGCGATCCTTATGCTGCTTACGGAGGCTACCAGAACTATGTGGCATACTATCAGTATTACCAACAACAGGCGGCAGCAGCAGCTCAGCAGCAATCTCCGCCCCCACCTCCAGGCGATGCCAGCGCCCAACCTCCTCCTCCGCCACCTGATTCCTCAGCGGCACCACCTCCACCACCGCCTTCATCCGGCTATGCGGCCGTCCCGCCCCCACCTGGACTGTGAGCCTTTTGGTTGATTTGAGAGCTGACCAAGTCAGATTCGGGGTTCATGAAACCGACCCGGGAGGAAACCAATCACGCTTGAAATTTCAACTCGAAGCGATATCGAATTTCTTTACGTTTGCCACCATGGCCATTGGTTTGTATGTCGAAGCGAAGGTGTTCTCCAAGAACACCAAGGCAAAGTATTTTCAAAAGCAAAGACTCTATGACAGCTGATCGGTCAATAGGGACCAGATCCATTAATTTCATCATTGTTCCTTGTGTTGTGATTTGCAGCTGACCAAACATGTAGTTGTTCATTTGCTTCTAAACTTTCCCGATCGGCCCTAGCTTTGGTGAGCCAGACTTGATGGCCGATTTTGAGTAATATGACATGTATTTGACCATGTAAGTGGGAGGACGTGAAGGTAGATTGACTACAGCTTTCAAAGAAATCGATACTCTTATAAGTTTGACTAGGTCTGTATATTGGTGCCATGGATTTGCTGAGGGCGGAGCAGTAGGCAGTAGAAATGCCTGTCGCGTCTTGCACAGCAGTTTGCAGAGATGGCTCTGAAGTTCTGTCTCCGTCCATCAAGGTATCGACCATGGTTTCCGGACATTCAGGGAGGAGGCTAATACCTCCCTCCCCTGCAATGATGTTCGTTTGATTGAAGAGCCGAGATAGAACCCATTCATTGTGAATGTCAATCAATGTTCTGGGTTGGTCAGGCCGGACGGAAGTAGTATGCAGTAGATATACACAACACGATCGCTCAATCATTGATGCATTGGCGGAGTGGCAACCCTCCAGTAGTTTGGCGCTTCTGTGCAGGGGTATCAAGCCATGGGAATGTATCAGGGCATCTGCATATGCATGTTACTCCTTAGCATATCCAGAAGTCCTTGCATAAGCTGTTCGGAGGAGCTTCTCAACGTCTACTATAGACGCTCGCTCTCTTCTGTCGTGCAATTTCCTGACTCTGTGATGACACTTTCTCCAAATCCAGAGAATGTTCTATCAAGAATCTCAACATCCACCCATCTACTTTGTGCGTTGCTGGTTCTGTGGAAACAAGACACTTTTCTTGAAAGACGACCAAGCGTTCCATCTACAACTGTCAGTATAACAGCAACAAGAGCTGGGGACCAGAGGTAAATGGCTATCGTTGAAAGAATACTTACCATTGCAGATGTTGATTGCCAGTACTGTGAGAGCTCTACAAGCGCCTCGAAGTTACTGTTGAGCCCCTGTCGAACTACTTCAGCCTCGTGCAGTTCGCCAAAGACTAGGGTGTGAATCAGGACAGTGGAGGAAACCGTTGTCATGTGGCCAACATTTGGATAAACGACATCACAGCCTTTCATTTGACGAGACTGGCGCAAAAGGGAGCTGAAAGCCGAAGCATGAGCTTTACATCGCGCGATGTATGCAGAATGGGTCTTATTGTTAGGTTGTTGAAGTTCGAGAAATGGAAAGTAAAGCAGAGTCGAAAAATGATGATAGGCAAGGTGCGTCGAGATCAAGACTCCACCTAGGCCATATTCTTGTTGTCGTCTAAGATTCTCTTGATTCATCTGAGCATCGATTGGTAGTTTATCCTCCCAATGTTGCAGATCTTTTGCGAGCCGCTCAACTTCTTTCTCCAAGCTTGAGGGATCAGCCTCACCATTCGCAATAAGCCGGTTGAGATCGTGGATTGGGCCGAAAAGCTGGACAAGCGTCACTCCTTGTGCCCATATTCCGTGCTCTTGCAAGCCATTCAAGGATATATTATCGGACTGTAATGACATAAAAGTCCTGTCGTTCATTGGCAGCCCCGTCTTTATTGGAATGTTCTTGAAGTGACTTTGTAGTCCTTGACCTGATATGCACCAGAGGTCTGTCATGTATAGCGAACACCACAGCCGCCGTCTTATTTCTCGTTCAAGGAGAGACCCTCCTAGCATCGGGGAGTTCAGATTCATGATCTCAGCCATGGCAGTCGCGATACCTAGCCGACGAATAATTAGACCCTATACTACCAAAAAGTACTGCCTTAATTCATACGAGAGTGTTTATACGTACGGAAAAACAGTGCCTCCGAATCGCGATCACCGTTGCCGACGCTCAACATCGCGACCAGAATACAAGCTTGGATGTTCTCGAGACATATTTGAGAGATGTCCGCTTGTAGCAGCCGCCGAGATTCTGCTGCCAGACCAGGGCTTTGGCTACGAGTGTCAGGGTTCGCTGAGAACTTGCTTCCAATCGCGCAGATGGCAAACAGTAAGGTCTGGCTCAGGGTACCAGCAGACACCATTGACCGGAGAGAAGCTGGATGAAAAATCATGTGTGGCCGACCATGGAAGTTATTCAGGTAGTGCTCGACAAGCTCGACAGCCATCCCGCGGGACAGTGCTGGTGTTGGTTCCGTTCGATGACCCGGAGGATGTGACGAGTCCTTGATAGGGTCCACAGGTGTCAGAGCGGGAGGCGCTAAGCCGCGATGGCCCCCAAGCTGTCTCTGTAGCTTTTTATTGCAGATCAACTGTTTCTGTTGGCAGGATTCACACGCTTCACCCCAGTCCTCCCGGACGCATCGCCTTTTGGCTTGCCGGCATTCAGAGCATGCCGTTGGACTCCTCATTGTTGCATCAGTACAGACATCTGGGAGAAGGTGTTCACTGAACAAGCTCAGAGGAGTATGAAGTGTGCTAGGGGGATGCACTGTCTTGAAAGAAGATCACTACGCGACAATGAGGATTTATCAGCGGCTTTCGCGGAATGGGCATCTTATGATTGGCTCATTTCCGAATCCCTTCAACTTAGGGCGCTGGTCCCCACCTTCATACTGGATTGCGAATAAATACAATCGATGGAGTTGTGGAGTCACGACAACATATATCATATGCAAAGATATCCCAAAGTTGTAAGAGGTTATTGCAATCTACTTCGTTCACATCTTCCATTGCTGGCTTCTCCTGGCTCTGTATTCATTCAAGTGCGAGAACGCCTGACTAGCCCAACCATGTCATCTATATTGGAGCCCATGACTATTGGTAACCGTATATCGTTACGAAACAGACTGGCCATGGCATCAATGACACGAAATCGATGTGTTGATGATTACAAACCTGGTCAAGAGCATATAAAGCATTATGCTGATAGGGCTAGGGATGGCCCAGGCATTATTGTGAGCGAAGGCACTTTGGTCGACTGGGCTGGAATAGACTGGGCACATGCGCCTTTCATGATCTCTGATGAACATGCCGAAGCCTGGCACGCTGTTGTTGAAGCAGTCCACGCAGAAGGAGCATTGATGTACTTTCAGGCATGGCACCCAGGTACGTGGGCCCGCAGGCTTTGGGATATTAGGATCTAGTGTAACCCGGGTCTTTGCAGGACGATGCCAGCATGACCAGTTGCCCATAATGAAGAGCAAAGGCCGCCCTGTGCTTGCTCCATCTTGCATTCCCGCCCAAGGTGGTAAATATCACGAACTACCTGGCATGCCGGTCTGATTGAATCTCTACTTACGGCGTGGCACCCATTAACAAAGAAATGCAGGGTCATACCAAAAATGTTAAGGCGATCGAGGACCCGCAGGAGGTGATTGAATTGTATCGACGATCATTCTCCCTCGCGAAAATGGCTGGCTTTGATGGCGTCGAGCTTCTATGTCAAGGGTATGGTGACTAAAATCCCTTTCAACCTTCGCGGGAAGATGACAGAAACTGAAATGGTTACCAGTGGCTTCCTACCACAGCAGTTTCTAAATTCGTAAGGAGAACCTTGATATCAGCCCTTCTTCCATCGAAAGTGTTGACGTTTTCTTACAGGCGTGCCAATTACCGAACCGATGAGTATGGTGGCTCCGTGGCTAACCGTTGTCGCTTCATTTTGGAGCTTGTCGATGCGGTCAGCAACGAACTTGGTGGACCAGAACACATCTGTGTTAAAATTAGCCCCACAGACATCCTCAATGACTCGGTGGTCACATTCGATGAGATCCAGGAAACCTACACGCATTTGATACAAGAATTAGTCAAGCGAAAAGTGGGTATCATTAACATCTGTCGCCGCGGCGCCGACATTGATGTTGACTTTGGTGGCGGCTATATCGATCTTCATCGCCCGACAGAGTATTCGTTGCCGCCAAAATATGACCCAGTCCTGGACTTTGGGCCTCTGGTCAAGTTTCCCGGTAGCCCGACAATGCTCATGGCGAACCAGGATTATTCTATTGAAGAAGCCGACCGACTTATCAAAGAAGGCACGATCGACTTGATTATGATGGGTAGACCCTTCATCTATAATCCCGTATGTCAAAACTGTGAGTGGTATGAGAAAATCACTGATGAATTGGCAGGACCTAGTCATTCGAATCAGACAAGGACTTGCATTTGCGAACAATGATCGCGGTAACGACGTATTCTATGGGCCGTACAGTGTACCTGAAGAGAATTACAATGACTGGCCATCAGCATTTCCGGATACATCTCCAGCAGTCCAACCATAGGAACGTAACTGTCAATGTTCTGGGGTGCAGAAGCATAGGAATAGCTCCGACGGAGCCCAACATGCCCCGATCAACTAATAATCGATTCCACCTGTGATGACCATCTTCAGAACTAGATAGTCTTCAAGCCCGTATTTACTTCCTTCACGACCGAATCCAGAGTGTTTGATACCTCCGAATGGAACAGGCGCATCTGAGACGACGCCAGTATTCAGAGACACCATTCCAGTTTGTAGTCTCTCAGATACACGGTATGACCTAGCCATGTTTGAAGTCATGACATATGAAGCCAAGCCGACATCTGATTTATTGGCTCTTTCGATGACTTCATCCTCAGAGACGAACTTCATCAAAGGAGCAACCGGTCCGAAAGTCTCCTCTTGGGCAATTTGCATTGTATCGTCGACATCGCCGAGGATTGTCAATTCGTGGAAACTCTTCCCTATTGAGGGTAATCGGTTTCCTCCAAGTAAGACTTTTGCGTTTTTACCAACCGCGTCTCTGATATGTGATTCGACCTTTTCAAGGCCGTTGGTAAGTGGGCCATGCGTGATGGAACCATCGTTAACGGCGAGCGAATTGCCCACTTTAAACTTCCTGACTTCTTCGACGAATCTCTTAGCAAATCTGTCATAGATGCCTTCCTGGACGAATATTCGATTCGCACAAACGCATGTCTGCCCCGTGACTTTGAACTTGGCAATGAGTGCGCTCGAGATGGCCGTTTCGAGATCCGCATCGTCAAAAACAATGAATGCAGCGTTTCCCCCGAGTTCCAAACTTAGCTTCTTCAATGTAGAAGCGGACTGCCGGTACAGAAGCTTGCCTACCTGCGTTGATCCAGTAAACGAAATCTTCTTGACAATGTTTGACTCGCAGAGCGCCAGCCCAAGTTTTGGCGTATTTTCCCCAGCCGTCACTACGTTGAAAACGCCTTTGGGGATCCCAGCTCGCTCGCATATGACAGCCAAAGCACTTGATGAGAATGGTGTTAGTCCATCTGGTTTCAGCA